ACCCTGAATAAGAGCTTGGTAACAAAAGAAGAGCCCTGATGGATTGGGTCAAAGGTCCACCTTTCTGCATCTAGCTGCATACAGGTGAATTCTGGAAGGTGAAACAGGGCATGAAAATGAGACCCAATCCGATGTTCTTGAGCAATTGACCCTGAAGGTCAGGCTATACATGAAGCTTAGCCGCAGGGATCTGAACCCTGACTTTGGTGGGTTTTGTTTTTCGAAATGCACAACTGAACACTGCAAACTAAAATGAAGACTGACGTGGAGAGGGGAAAGCGGGACTTAACGTGCTCTCCTCATGCTGCTTTTCTACTACAAATTGCCTTCAGCAAGCTATGTGGAGAGAAAGAAACAGCATGAAGGGAACAGATTAAGCCCCCTCTCCACCTCTTGCCACCCCACCCCGCAGGTTTAGTTGGGCTGTATGCTATGCTGCCTCCGAAAAGAGATGTTTCATTTAGCCACCACAGCTAATAGCTACTGATATTAGCTATTACTTTCTCGGTTTCGTGTTTCCTTAACTCTTTCCCCCTTCCTTTCTCTCAGTCTTGACTTAGCTGTAGAATTTAAGGTTCACCCCAATAAGAACACCTACGTTTTTCTTTTTGGTCTGCTAGGTGTTTGATACACTGGTGGTGTATTTGACTTATCATATCATACTCTTAACACAATTTGATGCACTGAGTCTTATTAGCTACAAATGGTCTCCACCAGTTGAGCAGCACAATCTCATTGACAGGGGGTAGTTGCTGCAGTACATCTAATAGATTTTGCCTACCTAGAGTATTTTGCTCTCCCTAGCTCAAGTCCTAATAAACAGCAAATTGTATGGAATGTCACATCAGGCAAATAACCTGTACCCTGTGTTGTATTGTACTTGGCATGGTTGGTTTTTTTTGGAAATGATATAACCTGTGTCCACCAAAGGCTCCAGGATTAATCCAATTTCTCTCCAGGTTTGGTCCCTCAAATAAAAATAGGCTATTTACCAGCTTGCCTGTCCAACACACCAAGCCTATCAAAAATGAAAGTTCAGTGTGCCTTACTCACAAGTAAGTGCACAGGTTCGCACTCTAAATGCAAGCCTGCCATGCAGAGATTAAGAGTTGCAGGTCCCATTCAGGATCACTAATCAATGACTGGAGAGAGAAAAAGGGTCATTCAGTACCCTGGACAGATCACAGTGAGCAAGCAATTCTGCAATGGTGCCACCATGGAATTCTGTATTTAGAAAAAACACTGGAATAGAATATGGCTCAGAACAGAACACTACATCAAGCATCCACTGACAGAGGCAGTAAGCTTCTGAATACTACATGCTGGAAACCACAGGAATACTGGACCTCAGTTTCTGTTTGTGGGCTTCCCATAAGCACCTGGTTGGCCCCTGTGAAAACAGGATGCTGGACTACTGTAGGTGAGCCACTGGTCTGATCCTGTTTATGTTCTTAAGCCTGAAGCTGTCTCTGCTCCTGGGGAGAAAGATCATGATAACCACAGATTATATTTTTTCCTCCCTAACAACAGCTTTGTTAATTTGACTATGGAGCTGAATAGCTTCAGTTGTCTTAGTAAATTATTTGTATCTAGAATCCAGTACAGGAGGAAACTGAGTTCTATGTATCCCAGGCTTTTACCAGGCTATGTGATGTTATTGTCATGATTTATTAGGTGTGTCTGAGTTTTTCAGGGCCGACTCAGAAAGAGCTTGGGAATTCTAGATTATACCTCTATAAAAATATATTTATTAATTGAAAATGATATGATTACCAAAGAGCTACCCCATACACCGTTTGATCAACAAGGAAAACCCATTTCACTAACCTACTTGGTACTTGGCAATTTCCTGGTTCTTACATACATAGCCAGGAGGTAGAAACAGGAAATTCTGATGAACTGTGTTTTGCTGCATGACTGGGAAGGTCTGGCATAGAGCTTCTAACACATGGCCCTAGTAAACAATTTTTTCTTGCATACACAGATGAATGACTGAATATTCCCAGAAATATGATAGCAGTCCCGTGTTTTTGAAAACAGGATGCATTTAAAAACAAAAACAACAGAGCAACCCAGTCAACATTTTTATCAGACTGCATCTTAAGCAAAACATCACTTCCCATATTATTGCCAAATCAAGCCACAAGAATTATAACCTCTATTCATAACTTGGCACAGCCCTTTGGAGAACATTAGCAAATTGTGATTCCCTCCCCCCCTCATAATTTATTTTCTACATGCTGTTTGGCAGTTAGTTGCTGGAGAGAAAGGGGCAGAGCTTACATTTAATGTCCCAAGTACTGGTCTGTGAAGCACAATTTATTTACAAGTGTTCATTTTTCCCCCTTGTTGAGTCAACAGCCAATTTAGCTTTTTGTTTAATCTCATAGTTCCATTCTAAATAAATACATGGAAGTGGAATATAAATCACATCTCCCTCCTATGCTGACAGTGATTTATCTTCCCAAGACTTCTGGTTGACTAATATGCTATAGCTATGAAGAAGCCGAGGTAATGATGTAAATGCTTATGTCAGAAATTGCATTCATTCTATCATAATATTGGGCTTCATACTAAGAAGAATGGCCATCTTACGTTCTCAAATCAAATTGACAGATAACTCTAAAAGCGACTTTTAGAAAGGCTCTTTCTCAAAGTCTTGCCATTAAGCATCTGCCTTCTCAACTACCAAGAGAAAGAGAAATAAACAAACCATATGTTATATTTTATTCTTTTCATAAAGAGTCAAAATCAGACACCGTGATTGCCAAGTCTCCTTTTAAGTGACAGATAAGAATGTGTCCAGTTAATCACTCTGGGATAGCTGTAGAAACCATTTCCTCAGACTATATTAGCTTTATAATGGATTTCTCAGTCAACTTTCGAAAGGTTTTTAATTAGCAAAATCTATTGTTTTTAAATGAATAATTGATCCATTTGCTTGGTTAAAATCATTTGCATGCCACCCTTCCTTTCAATGTGTTCAGGTAGCAGATGTGGGCTACCCATTTTATTCTCTCAACCATGTAAGTTCGATTACACCGAGAGAAAGTTTTGCTGAGGACTTGCCAGCCAGTTTCTTATCTGGTGAACCCAGGCTATGCTGTCTTAACTCCTTCACCCCTGCAAAGGTAAAGGGACCCCTGACCATTAGGTCCAGTTGTGACCGACTCTGGGGTTGCGGCGCTCATCTCACTTTATTGGCCGAGGGAGCCGGCGTACAAATTCCGGGTCATGTGGCCAGCATGACTAAGCCACTTCTGGTGAACCAGAGCAGCGCACGGAAATGCCGTTTACCTTCCCGCCGGAGCGGTACCTATTTATCTACTTGCACTTGACATGCTTTCGAACTGCTAGGTTGGCACGAGCAGGGATTGAGCAACGGGAGCTCACCCCATCGCAGGGATTCGAACCGCCGACCTTCTGATCGGCAAGTCCTAGGCTCTGTGGTTTAACCCACAGCACCACCCGCGTCCCAAACCCAAACCGCGTCCCAAACCACGTCCTTCACCCCTGACTCAGCCACAAAATGTTCAGCATCTCTCCCCCATTCCCAGCCAGAACCCAACACGCTGAGCCAAGCTCAATGTGTTCCACAGGTATGACAGAGGGACCAGAAAGTGGTGGTGCTGGAGACTTAGGCTGGATCCTAAGCTCCTTCATCTTGGTCACACGATGTGGCAACCCAATGTAAATTAAGCTGGCAAAGGGGATCCTCCTTCATGAGGGTCCTAGTTGCTCTCAGGCAACACACACGCCCCCTCGCTAGGTGGTAGGTGTTGGGCATGTCCCAGGCCTGTCATTATGGCCCCACAATCACACCAGGCCGTTTGAGCCAATCTGAGGCAGGTGGTATGATTGGGGGGGCCTTTAAAAGTGGCAGTGTGACGTGGCCAAGACACTTGCTTCACGCTGCTGAACACCTGCCCTCCCATCCCTATTTATAGGTTGCTGCATTGGCCTTGCTTCGGATGTTAGTTGGTCGCCTGTTTTGGAACAGGGCCCGGGTTTCGCCTACGCCCTTAGCAATTGTCACAACTTTGTAAGTTTTGGCAGTTAGGCACTGGCCTAGCGAGGTGTGTGGGAGGGGAGGTGCGGCCATCACCCTGCCCCTCCATGAATAGGGTATTCCGGTAAAGGAATCTGGGGGTCCTAGATCTCATCCGAAGTCCACTTGAGGGGCTAGGGCCATGCCAGGACCACAGGAACCCCGGGGTGAGCTTCGGTTGGTCTTCATCGATGTGGCTCCCTTGTTTGTTTACCCTTCCAGACTACCTGCCAGAGAGGTAGGAGTCAGTTATAGTCAGTTGCCAATGCCTAAGCCAATACCACTCACTTTGCTGTAACCAATATTGTGGCCTAAATTTTGCCCAATAACTTAAACCAAAAATAAGTGTAAATGTGAAATTATTTACTTGGGGGCCGAGGCTTGGGGACCTCAGAGCGCAAAAGATGTACTGTAAGTCAAACAATTTAAAGGCTTATTTTCCTTCTGCCAGGCTTTGACTGGCTCAGTCAGCTGTAGCCCCACTCCTGAATGGAGTTTGGATTTGGCATACCAGTATAACTTTTGCTACCTTCCCTTGTGTTGGCTTGCTCCTTTAGAGAGCCAAAATGGACAAATGCATGCATCCCTAGTTACATACGAGTTTCCTGCATGAGGGTGTACTTGGAACAGGACAGTTACTGCTGCGTATATTGGCCTGACCAGGTTAAGGGCTTTGGATGACTCTCCTTTTTGAAAGTCTAAGACAGGCTGAATGAACCATGATGATTACATTTCCTTATTACGAGATTATTGTGCTGACAAAAAAACAAACAAACCACTGGAAACGTCCATGCTAAATAGTTCTGAGTTCAGTTAAAGTCAATAGAAATCAACTGGGTTAAGCTACCTGAAGGCCGCAGCGTTACGCCGGGATCCTCTGTGTGCTAACTTGGAAGTAAATTCCATTAAAATCAGTTAAACTTATTTCTTAGGAAATAATGCTCAGGGGTGATTCTGAGTGCCACTAAACTTTTTGGATCACATTTATTTGTTTTATTTATTATCATACAGGAACCAAGAAACAAAGACAGATAATTAAGGCTGCTATCCTATGCTCAGTTACCACGGAATGCCCCACTGAACCTTATTGCATGGTTTAAAAATATATTAATGTTAAGAACATTACACTGCCAGTTTGACATACATGAAGAAAATGTACAACACCCCATCCTATCTTACAATTCACTTAATAATTCTGAATCTATCAGCTAACAGTTCTTATCTGGGAGTCTAACTTTGATTTACTACTGCTGCAGTTACAGTTTCTTTCCTTTCTTCTTTCAAAGATTAAAAGGAATTTCTGACAGCATCATCCCCTTCTCCCTTATTCTGCACTAAGTTTAAGGCTGAGGCGGCAATATGATCAAAGCTGCAGTTAGCTTCTGCTCAGTCTGATAGCACATTGAGATGGTGACATTGCACTTTTGATGTCTCTTTCTTTCTTTCTTTCTTTCTTTCTTTCTTTCTTTCTTTCTTTCTTTCCTTCTTTCTTTCTTTCTTTCTTTCTTTCTTTCCTTCTTTCTTTCTTTCTTTCTCTCTGTGCCTCTTGCCAGGGTAGGGCTCTGAAAGATACCAAACAGCCTGGTCTTAATGTTTCACTTTCTTTTCTCTCTTTGGGGGGAAGTGGTAAGCATTAATTTGCATCATACTAACAGACCATTTCCCTTGATATAATTTAAGAGCGCTGTTTAATTCTTTTTTTTAAAAAAAAATCAATGGCTCATTAATGCACATTCAATCATTAATTTACATTAGCAACTGCTAATGGGCAGTATGAGAACAGAATGTTCATAGAAGACTTGCGACCAGTTTCCCCTAATGAACTGACCCTTGCTACTATTGGAGGTCAATTATATACAATGGCAACTTTTCTAATAAAGGGCTTAAAAAAACACCCCCCAAAAACCTATCACCAATGGAATAGCCAGCGATAAGCCTTGTCAGATGGAAAACCAATAATAATGATAAACAGGAAGATCTAGAAGCATGTGGTGCAGAGGCGTCCCTAGGGGTTGGTGAATCTTGCCCCCGGCAAGGGTGCATGCCCAGTTGGGTGCAAAAATCAGACTATGGAGTGTCTGATGCATATGTCTGTGGTGACACAACGCTGCTGTTATGGAGAGATCAAACACAGGAGAAGCTTCTCATCCTTCTCACACTGTGGCACAAAGGCATGCAAATTTGTTCACCCTTCCTCCTTGCCTTGCCTTCACTCTGGATGCTTCAAGTATTTGAGACATGTAAAAGGTAGTAATTTCTAATGTGGCTATTGCTGTAAATTGATATATATATATATTGGGTGTGTGTGCAGATACAGCTCCTTGATGGGGGTAGCAAGGGATGCCTCGGATGTGCTGTTACCAAAATGGAATCCTATTTTGGTATTAAGTTGTGAATAAAATAACAGTGGCAATAATAGTGCCACCCAAGGCACTAAAAACAAACACAATTCATTCTAATTATGTATTGATTGTGATCTTGCAACCGATGGAATTTGGAATGGAGAATCTGTTGAGAGGTATGATCTAACCAGATTTCAGGGAAGTTATGAAGAATAGCTGAGTTCACTGGCATAGGAAGGGGGGTGCAGTGTGCGTGGTCTGCCCCGGGTGTCATCCCTGGGGGGGGGGGTGACATCACTGGTTGAGTTTAAGCAATTTTAAAAGTTCGCTTTTGACTACTGTTTTGTCCATCCAAAATATATCTACATTTATTGTACTGACAGTTTAGATTTTGTAATAAGAATGTGTGTGTGTGTGTTGCAGTTGTATGCCTTTAGCTGCTCTGATTAAAGTTGTCATGTATTCTAAAAGTAAGGCGATTTTAACATTCCTGTTAAATTGTATACACAAGAAGCTGCTGTAAAACAAGCCCATCGTAAGTTAAGATAATGCAAAGTACATGAGATCCAAATTCCATTCAGGATTTGAAGACACTAGCAACACAGACATCCATAGTGATCTGCTCTGCATTTTAGATCTGTGCCACATGGATTTGATTTTCAGATCCTCCATAACTGCTGATTCCATTCCAGGTCTCCCATTTCTGAAACATCTGAGAAATATGGGTAAACAGCAATGCATGCTAAGTATCTTTTTGAACTGTTGCAAGATCATTATGATCTATGAGAATAAGAAGGATGGGGGAAATGTACAGCTAAAAATGCCCTATCTTTGCAACCTGATGCAAAGCTAACACAGAACCAATACATGTGAAATACTTAGAGCATCTTAAAACACAATTCAAAATAAAACCACTGAAATAAAATGTTTACCACAGTACTTTTAAAAAAAGAAGTTTCACATTCTATATTCCAAAAGTACTGTGATACTCCCCACCAACTTGTTTAAAATGCACATAAAATTGTTAGATTACTTCACCCTTGCAATTTTATGTTCAAAGAGATGAGTCAAAGTGAGCAAAAAAATATGAAATTAAAAAATCAGAACTCCAGTCTTTTTTAAAAAAACAAAACAGCAGAGATCCTTTTTGATAACATTTGAAAGTGTAGGATTAGCTTTCAAAGACAGATGGCAATAAATCGAAAGCTTTAGCTTAAATAACATTCAATGCAAATAAAAAGCCGAGACTGACTATTTTGAGTGTGGATTTGAGCCCCACCTGGGGCAAAAGATTCCTGCGTTGCAGGGAGTTGGACTAGATGACCCTGGTGGTCCCTTCCAACTACGCAATTTTATATTAATTCCAAATCTACAATTCTATGCTAAAGAAGTCACTGTCATCCCATACAGGGTAAAGGTAAGTAGAGGCACAATTGAAATGTTACCCACTGTCTGCTTGGGGGTGGGGTGGGGAGAGGAGAAAATTCTAAAGTATCAGGGTCTTCGCTTTATTTGATATATAATATGTTCTTTCAGACAATACCACAAAATTCTTCAGTGCACATATATAGCTATTGCCAGGTGAGGATACTCTTTGAATTATATTTCTAGCATGTTGTAGCATAAATAAGGTGTCTGAGTCATAGTCTCCCTTTATTAGTGTCACACAAACTGTGTTTTCAAACACAAAGTGTAGAGCTACCATGTTTGCCTGAAGCCAAATATGTTTTCACAAAAGAGAAACAACCCCCACAATATTTAACCTACAGTATTTCAGGTTTGACCCCTTTTGGTAAAATCCATGCCAGATCAATAAACCCTTGGCTGTCTGATTCACTGTTTAAACATGCTGACCAGAGAAATTCCTCTCTGTGTTCTGAATTTGGGCATCCAGAATGGTTTGGAGTTTGGAAGCATTTTAGAAAGTTGGGTTGTGTGACGTGTATCATTTCTTCTTCATTACAATCACACACTACCTTTCTTCTACTGCTCAGAAATCAGGCCGCCTATTAATCATATTTTCTGCTGCTATTGGTATATATAACAAGAGTTGTTGAATTTCAGAGTCTTGCAACCTCCTTCATACATTTAAAAAGAGGGCAAGGGGGGATATTAATTCTCAAATGTGCACAAAGTTTTACTGACCATAGCAAAATGCAGTCCCTCTGCCCCAGGCTTACTGAAAAAGCACACCCTTCAGATTCCATCTCCCTCCTTTTCTCCATTTCACTGGTGCCTTTTTTCTTTCCTTTTGCTTTTCAGCTTCATACTTTTGACAGTGTAGTCACTTTCTTGCATGCTAGATGAGCAGGATCGCTGCCCTCTCTTTCAGCACAGAGATGCCATCAAGGGCAAACCCTCTGTGGAGTTTGCCCTCCTATGTGTGTGACATCATACTGGGTTCATAGGGAAAGGGTTAACCAATTGTAAAATGACTAACGAATGGGAACCCAGGGGGCAGAGTTAACTGGGTATAAGGTTTAAGCACAGAGGTTTTTTTAGTTAGTTAGTTAGAGTTGTTGAGAAGACAGTCTGTTGGTTGTGCTAGTCTGGTGTGAGAGAGTGAGAGAATTTGTTAAGAGGAGTCAGTCAAACAGTTGAGATAATCAGTCGGAAGGGATTAGGAAGGTATAGGCCAGTAAAGAAACTAAAGTTAAGATACTGACAGAACTATTATCTGAGAAACCATAAACTTGTTAATGTTTTTAAAACAAACTTGGGGGTTTTTTTGGTTCACTTTTGACAGCTGACTGGACTCAGTGTTTTACTAGAGAGTAACTGGTTGGTGGCAGTGGGGAAGCGAGCACAGTGGTGGCACAGGGACCATTAAACGTCTGGGGACCCTGTGTGATCGCCACACCCTCCAACTTATTCTAACCAAAATCCTTGCAGCTGCCCCCCCCGCTCAGGTCTGCCACCGCCACCACTACCCTGTGCAATCTTGCAACTCATCCCCCTACCCACTGCCTCCACCAGAAGTCCCACCATCTCCGAAAGGCCTCTGCTGAGTGCTCAGATTGGGAGAGAAGAGAAAGTGCACTTCTGGAAGTGAGGCCCAGCTTCCTGAAGCACGTCAGTGACTGTGGCAGGCCTCCAGGCCTTGGTGGGGACCCTGCGGAGGAAGCAGGACATCACAGATTGACGTAAGAAGCCAGGACAGCTGCTGGGATATCAGTGATGTCCTAGTAAAATCAGGATCAGTCATGCAGGGATCTGGTTTACAAGATTCTCTCCCTCTGCCTGACCTGCCAACAATGAAAGGCTTTTGCGTGTTCAGACCCAGAAACCTCCCCCTAAATAAATTCACACTTGACTCAAATTTTGGTTTTGGTTTTTGGCAGCATTTAGGCCACAACTTTATTGATTACAGAAAGTGAATGGTTGCATAGGCTCTGGTTCGACTAGCTCCCTGCCATGCAGGTAGCGCTGACCCAGGGCACCAGCATAGGTCAGCCAAGGGTGAACACCCGAATAAGCGGAAAGCCGGGAACAGGCTATCTCCACCACCCAAATGTTCCCAGGACCCAGGCATGGGCACAACCCCCTCACAGGGGTTGACCAAACCTGGATTCCTTTAACGGAATACCCTTCACATAGGGATGGCGAGAGCGTTCTCCCATCCCTATCATCTGAACCAGAGCCTATCCACAACCTTACGAGTTGTGAAGATTTGCTACGCGGCAGGTGAAACCCAAATGGCAACAGCCAATCAGCCAAGTGGGGAAAATTCCTGCCGTGCCCCTGTCCCAACGACAGATGACACACGACGGCATAGCAAGGTCAAGCGCAAAGCCCTAAAAGTAGGGAGAGGTGGGCGGGTGTTCCAATGCATGAGCCAAAAGAGGAAGCTCTGGGTCACATGCATGAGTATAAATAGGTCCCTCAAACCGTTTTGGCTGTGTCCCATTGGCCAGATTGCACCCAGCTACGAGGGACCTACCAATCGGGTGTTGTGGCTGACCAATCGTACCCACCCACAACACAGGGTGTCGGTTTCCAGGTCTCACCGTAATATGTGCCCTCTTTAAGGGAAGACCTGATTTCCCATTACATGTTCTCTGCATAGTGGAAGGAAGCACACTCTTTCCTATACTGTGAGGATGGAAAAGTCAAGAATGAGACTTAAGGGAGCAAGATCCATTGGGATGGGCAGCCAGGGCTATCTTTAGCATATGCTCCGGTGGGGTGCAAAGATCTGCCCAGCACACAGGCCAAAGATGGTGAGCTTTTTTTAGGGCACAAAAAAAAGGCGGCAGCGATAGCTCCTTGGTCTCGCCAAGGCCAGTGTAACTCCCCACAAAGGGGGCATTCTGGAAGCATGGCAGGACCAGTGGCAGGATTCTGAACCTGTTCAGCTTGGCAACCCAGGTTAAAACACTATTTTAAAGGCTGCTTTTCTCTCTGCCAGGCTTAGATAGACCAGCAGCAGCCCCACTGTTGAGTGGGATTTAGATCTGGTGCAATTTTACACAGGTTTAATTTATCCTGGCTTGCTTTATACCAGTGTGCATAGGATTGCTCCTTTAAAGCTTAGTGCAGCTGTAGGGACCAGTTCAGCAGTGCTGGAAACAAGGATGGAGGAATCAAGCAGATGTGGTTTTTCCTCAGTTTTTCAGCCTTAGGTTCAGTTTGCAATATTTATGTATCACTTATTAATTATTATTTTTTAGGAAACGCTCATGAAAATTTGCCAGCATTCTAAGTACACTTTGGTATGTAATTTTGCTTAATATTTACCTTTTTCAAGCAACTTCCCCAATAAAAAGCTATGTGTTGGTTTCAAAGATATATGCATTTTTATGCATACTTTCTTTTGAGACATACATTTTGTACACATTTTTGGAAGAATTGCAGAAGTGTGAATTTTGGAAGGAAAGCTGGGTTTCAGTTTGCGTATTGTTTCAGAATGCAAAGGTTTCCGTTAGAATGCAAACTGAATTCCCCTCCCCATCCCAGTTGGCACTTAATTTTTCTGCTTTATGAAACCCAAAGCTTCTATAGAAACCTGTGTAACTTTGAGCAGTATTCAATTACTTGTAAGTCACAGTTGTCACTTATTCCACAATACAAATATCTGAGCCCCCATTGGAGAAGGTCGCCTTGTAGAATCCTCATAGTACTGCATCTCTCCCTCACGCCCATTTAATTTATTTCTGGCTTGGTATTCATGAGCTTTCTCAGAAAACTCCGAAAGAAAAAGTTTAACCGTCTCCCAAAGTAATAATAAAAAGATCTGTCCCAGCTTATAGTGCTGGCAACCTTAACACACTGCTTTATTAACTGCCCCTCAGAAAATTCCATGTTTCTTGAACAAGTCTTGGACATTAATCACAGCTCAGACTGAGCCATGCAAAAGCCCCCAATGGGTGATCTTCTAAGGCTTCAGAGAGCTATGGGTAAACCCAGGGATGCTTCAAAGCTTTGGGAACAAGGGAGCTGTGTCATATCTGAGCTTGTTTGACAAAACACACCAAAGCTCTCTGACCCAAATAAGCTGAAGCTTAGGCAGAGACTATATATTGCCACAAAGCCCTCCCCTTGCCTTTATTTTCTTGGTTTTCAAAACTGATGGATGCTTTAAAAAATTCCTCTGAAAAGTCTAAGTATTGGATGTTTTCACTGAAGCAGAAGGGCAGGAGTATCACTACGTCAGATGCACACATAGCATCTTAGCATTAATCATTCTTATATAGCTCAAGTCAATGAGAAGCCTTGCTCTGGATGTGCTAAGCTTACCCACCCAGGGAGATTTTGTGGGAGAGGTATATTCAAACATACTGTCTCTTAGGTCAGCCTTCCCTTCACAAACCTGCAATACTGCTGGGGCTAGGATGTGGGTGGCGCTGTGGTCTAAACCACTGAGCCTCTTGGGCTTGCCTTCAGAAGGTCAGCAGTTCAAATCTCCATGATGGGGTGAGCTCATGTTGCTCTGTCCCAACTCCTGCCTACCTAGCAGTTCGAAGGCATGCCAGTGCAAGTAGTTAAATAGGTAGCGCTGTGGCGGGAAGGTAAACCGCATTTCTGTGCACTCTGGTTTCCGTCACATTGTTCCATTGTGCCAGAAGCAGTTTAGTCATGCTGGCCACAGGACCCGAAAAGCTGTCTGTGGACAAACGCCAGCTTCCTTGGCCTGAAAGCAAGATGAGCGCTGCAACCCCATAGTCACCTTTGACTGGACTTAACCGTCCAGGGGTCCTTTACCTTTACCTTTTCATTCTACTGCTAGGGCTTATGGGAGTTGTAGTCCAAAGCACAGGTTGTTAAAGCCTGCTCTGTATGCACATTGAAGACTGCTGGGTTGTGAAAGGAATGTGATTTGTTGAAACCATGGATCAATTCTCAATCCTGTCTTGATTGTAAAACAACATTTGTCATAGATTTCAAATACCTTTCTTTCTGCTAAGCCTTTTGTTTTACATTCTCAGCCATTTCCAATTAAAAAAGACCCCCCCCCATGCAGATAGTTATATTTCTGGCATACCTTCTTTTTACCTAGACTTATTTTCATTAATCGAGTTTTCTTAATCAATAATTAAAGATATGAGATGCTCTCTCTAAGCTATGGACACCACACATCTTTAGCACTGAGAGCTTTGACGCCCAACTGTGTCTCTCTATGGGAGTTGTCCTCTTCTGTCTCTCCTTTGATTAATGTTGTTTGCCATAGAAATGATGCACGGTGATAATGGTCGCTAAATAATCAGCCTTCAACACTGCATGGATACTGGGGGGAAACATAGTAGAAGCATACTTATTGCTATTAGTGTTGTGAAATATACTTGACACTGTAACATAGCTGGGGAAATTGGCCACCCTCTGGTGGGTGGTGCTGTGGTCTAAACCACTGAGCCTAGGGCTTGCCAATCAGAAGGTCAGTGGTTCAAATCCCCGCAGCGGGGCAAGCTCCCATTGTTGGGTCCCAGCTCCTGCCAACCTAACAGTTCGAAAGCACATCAAAGTGCAAGTAGATAAATAGGTACCACTCCGGTGGGAAGGTAAACGGCGTTTCCGTGCGCTGCTCTGGTCCGCCAGAAGCAGCTTAGTCATGCTGGCCACATGACCCGGAAGCTGTCTGCAGACAAACACCGGCTCCCTTGGCCAGTAAAGCGAGATGAGTGCCACAACCCCAGAGTCATCCGCAACTGGACTTAACGGTCAGGGGTCCCTTTACCTTTACCTGGTTAGAATAGGAAATGTGATGTGTAGCCATATTTGCCATATGCGGTCCTGAGTAATGGCAAGGAAAATTTGCCTCTCCCATATATGAACTGGACAACATAGCTTAAGTGCAGTTCCTTTTTTATAGTGGAAAGAGGAAAAAAAAAATATTGCCACCCCAAAACTAGAGACTGGTTCACTCATGAACTTATGAAATGATTAGAGGGGTGCTGCAGACAGCAGTTTCATATAGGTAACTGAAAATAGGGTACAGAAAGGGGGTTATACCCCCAGCTACCCAGACTCTTCCTTCCTTCCTTCCTTCCCTCCTTCCTTCCTTCCTTCCTTCCTTCCTTCCTTCCTTCCTTCCTTCTCTCTCTTTCTTTCTTTCTTTCTTTCTTTCTTTCTTTCTTTCTTTCTTTCCGAAGAAGATTACAGCACAAAATGTGGAGGCAGGTTCATGCATCAGCAATAGACAGGCAGCACAATTCCTAAGTATGCTTAGGGAGCAATTTATGGCAAGACGCACCAGGATGAGCAAGATCCAGCAGGTCTCTAGCTTGAGCAGGGAGGTCCCCAGGAATTATAGAAACCCTGTCAAATTGCCATCTCCAAAGAGCTTTGTGCTGCCAATTTGATACTGGCAAGATTTTACATGTAATAAAAGACTTTAAACAGCAGTCCTCATCGCCAAAGCCCCAGCTGTTTTGTGGAAAGTGACAGGTCCGTGTATCAGAAGTGGTGTGAAGTAGGGAAACCAGCTGCAGGGAATAACAAGACAAGTGAAAGGCTCTCAGACAAGCATTTGGAGTGAGACAGAGAGAGGTGGTGTGTTGTGGGGTCTCGTTTTCCATGGTAGCAAGAAAGGTCCAAGGGGCGATGGTAAAGTCCTTTCCAAGACAGGAGAAGTAGACCCAGAATGTGATCCCAGCAGCGTACTACAAATCATGGATGTGCACAGCTAAAGCCCAACTAAGATCTGTATGAATGGGTAGAAGGGACATCAGTGAGTGGGAATGATTTTCAATGGTTTCGGTGAGGAACAACAATGGTGGAGATAGGCCCTGATCCATGTTTATCATTTTACTGTTTTGCACAGGCTTCATTGCTGCCACTGTTGAAAAGAGAATCACAGCACAATCCTGTATGTGTCTACACAAAAGTAAGTCCCAGTGGGATTTGATCAAAAGATGCTACAAAACATAGCCTCGGTGTTGTTACAGCTCCAAAGAAATTGGAATTACAGTTGCTATATTTTGAAAAATCTTTGGCATTCTGAATTGGGCACTTGGATTATTCAGTAATGTTCAACCTTCACAGCTTTGATATCTCAAAAGTGTAGAAAGTAGTCTCGACATATTAGTTTATATGTGCATCAAAAAGTAATCAGGAAGTAATATGTAATCTGATTGCTAGACTTGTTTTTTCAAAACACTCAGCAAATAGCTCACTGGCCAAAGATGAATAGCTCCTGAAGATGTGGGAAATTGCAACAGTAGGGAAGCTAGCAGTCAATAAAAAAAAACTTGTTTAAAGGTATATCAAACTTTGAGTACATAATGAAAAATAAGTACCAGTGATTAATTACTTGAAATAGTTTAGCTGAAGTTTTGGAGACAATCTTTATTATATGCTTTCCCAAACCGTTGGATATTTTGTGAGAACTGGGTTGTTTGTAAGTGACTACTGTTGTTATTTCTAAGTTACAATTTATTTTAAACAACAGATAAACAACAGTCTACGTCAGGAACCATGGCTCTGAATGGAATCCTGGCATAATGGAATCATGATCGAAGTCAGAAACACCACAACAGTTACAGAAACAAGGGGCTAACAGCAACCCTGACAGACACACCAACACCAGCTGGTGATGCCTTCTATATTGGACATGTATGGGAGACGCCAATCAATGCATAGCATTGTTATTGTGTCCTGAACCTCCATGTATATACAATGTACAGTACAAGAAGGTGCCTCTTTTCCAGTGCAGGCGACCATGGTGGAATGGGTAGGAGGGCAAACAGCAATGGACAAACCACAGACCCCAGGGACTTCTGCAGGTAGGAGCTCATGTCCCTTAGCAGCAGAAACACAGACAGCATGCAAATAGCTAACACTCCAGACAGAGTACAAAGGACTACCATTACAAGAACAGCATACATCAAGCTTCACGTCCATTAGGTAAGAAGAAAGTGTGGAGATCTTATGGAGTTTCCAGAATCATGGTTCAGATTCTGCTATGGATCCAAAGCTCCTACTAAACTCTGCTCTGTTTAGTGCCCCCTGTGTGGAGGAACAAGATGTCAGCTTGATGATTAAGGATGGCATATATCACAAGAAAAAGCTCATAGGCCAGCACCACAAGCTGCCTTATAGCTGCGATGGAAGTCAGTGGGTGTTTTTGCCAAGGATGCCAAACATAAATGTGAGCAGCAGGTCAAAAGCCCTAAATTCTCACTATGCAAAGTCACTCCCTAACCCCACAGCCACAGCAGCAGATGGGAGGTAGACTAATGAATTGTCTGTTGCGTCTTGGGTGCTTGGCCTGTGGAACACTACCTTCTACTTCATCCTGTGTTTCAACCTCCAAAGAGAATAGCAATATAGCCATATCCAAACTAAAGAGGCCTACTGTAGGACTATTCCCTAGTGGTAAAGTACAAAGTAGACAGATGGTCCTAGGTCCAGTGTTTGCTCATTCATCAACCTAACAAGTTTCTCCCTTTGTTTGACACAGTATATCAGCAGAAACTGTAGAGGTACTGAGGTGTCACTGAGTTGTTTGGGGTCTCCCATTTATTTCATCCATGCACCATGAGCAATATGCAGACCCTTCGCCCAGACTACCATCCTGAAAAACTCACTGTCCACTATTTCCCATCATGGAGTCAGCTGAGATGAGTAACAAAGCAGGGGATTTCTATCTTTGAGCCCTCAAGGAAGCATGAAAAGGCAAACATGGCATTTAATGAATGGGGTCAATGGTGAAGTGAGTTCTGCAGGGGAATGATAAAACTCAGTTTGTCAACTCCTTGCAGTGTCCCTGTGGCCAGCTGAGCAGGACGTAGGGTTTTTTTTTGAAGGGTAGAGCATTCAGTGCCATGAGCTCCCATCTGCAGTGATATAGCCTACACAGAGGTTCATGAACATCTGAATCTACTTGAAACCAAGTCACAACATTGGTCCATCCACCTCAGTACAGTGGTACCTTGAGTTAAGTACTTAATTCGTTCCAGAGGTCCGTACTTAACCTGAAACTATTCTTAACCTGAAGCACCACTTTAGCTAATGGGGCCTCCTGCTGCTGCCGCACCGCCAGAGCACGATTTCTGTTCTCATCCTGAAGCAAAGTTCTTAACCTGAAGCACTATTTCTGGGTTAGTGGAGTGTGTAACCTGAAGCGTATGTTACCTGAGGTACCACTGTACTGTCAAGTCTGACTGGCAGCAGAAACACAAGTAAATGCATTTTTCAACCTTGCTACCCAAGATTCTTTAACTAAAATTGCTGGAAATTAGGACCTAATATAGGCAAGCCTACAAATCAGCTGAGGCTCTCACACAGACACTTTCAGATCTCTGTGAAATGTTTACAATTTGTCCAAATAACTTGAATTCTTCGTCTTCTTCTTCTTCTTCTTCTTCTTCTTCTTCTTCTTCTTCTTCTTCATGTGAAGATGGACTAAAGTGCAGCTGAACATTTCTCTTAAACAGTAATAACTGATGCAGTACCGTGAGACACAAATGCTTCAATCTATGCCTTGTTCAAGAACAACTTTGTTGTTGTTTAGTCATTTAGTCATGTCCGACTCTTCGTGACCCCATGGACCAGAGCACGCCAGGCACTCCTGTCTTCCACAGCCTCCCACAGTTTGGTCAAACTCATGCTGGTAGCTTCGAAAACACTATCCAACCATCTCGTCCTCTGTCGTCCCCTTCTCCTTAGGCCCTCCATCTTTCTCAACATCAGGGTCTTTTCCAGGGAGTGTCCTCTTCTCATGAGGTGGCCAAAGTACTGGAGTCTCAGCTTCATGATCTGTCCTTCCAGTGAGCACTCAGGGCTGATTTCCTTCAGAATGGATAGGTTTGATCTTCTTGCAGACCACTGGACTCTCAAGAGTCTCCTCCAGCACCACAAGAACAACTAATCATATCCATAAAGAGCTTCACTTTCTCCTTAAAGTGAAGCCAATATCATTCTCCTTTACTTAGACACATTTAAGTTATCTGTTACTCCTTAAAGGCTTTGTAATTCTGCAATGTTCTTCACAAAATCACTATTATGCATAACTCATAGAACTGCACCACCATGTTAGTATACTGAAATGTGGTGATTCTTACTAATTTCCCAGTTGCTTTGAATGATGCTTCTCATAATAAAATACATGATCCTTCAGCTGTATTCTTGTGTTCACCATGTTATTATCTCAGGGGAAGGTTGGCATCAATCCGCATGGTATCATTTCTTCCTTGAATTCAATTATGAGTGCCTTTTTATTCCTCGTTGTCTTAAGCAGACAAAGATGGAAGGCAATTATGGGGTAAAACAAATAAATGAGAACAACAGAACAGCCCCTCAGGAATGTTTAGCTAAAGCATGATTGGAAAATCGTTAGCATGGGTTCGTAGTTGCTGTATATCATTGTTGCATTTGGAAAACAATGCCTGTATTCTCTGGAATTGGGTCTTTTGCTTAATCCTCCTCATAACAACCTCATGAGGCAAGTATGGCGTTGGCTCAAGCATTTAACCATTGCCCCCTCCTGTGGACACCCATCACTGTAAAGCATTCACATAGCAGTCAACTAATACTCACCCAAAACCTGCAGGAGAGCGGTCCCTCTATTGAAGTGAATGGAAATGGTCATATGGAGCGGTACTCCCAGTTGTGCAGAGAGAGTGCAGGATTTTTACAGCCGTGGGTTTCCGGTGTAGGTTTAACATGCTTTCTTCTGACATACAATAGCTCTCTTAAAAATAAAAAAACAGATTTAACTATTAGGAGCATGCATATGGCTAATATATGTCTGGTGGTAAACATTTGAATTCTCAGAACCGCAGCCCGGCAGTAATTGCTCTGGAGCTGCCAACAGATCCGAAAATGTTAGCAGAAAGGGAGAACCTTTAGATGTCCATGCCAGACACATTAACACTGCATGGCTTCAACACAGGGGAGAGCAGCAGGATTGCTTAGCTTCAGAGAATGAAGGTCTCCTGAGCATTCTGTCCTCAAAGATCTATAACTGCCACCTTTGAAATGACATCATTGTTATCAGAGCAACTGATGACGGCAGATGCTGAAGCAATTTGCAATAGGAATTTTAAATGCATGTTTTGTTAGTCACTGATACACACACATATAATCACTAATAATAATAATAATTTATTATTTGTAGCTGGCCCATCTGGCTGGGCCTCCCCAGCCACTCTGGGCAGCTTCCAACAAAGATTAAAAATACATTAAAATGTCACACATTAAAAACTTCCCTAAACCGGGCTGCCTTCAGATTCTTCTAAATGTCAGGTAGTTGTTTGTCTCTTTGACATCTGATTGGAGGGCGTTCCACAGGGTGGGTGCCACTACCAAGAAGGCCCTCTGCCTGGTTCCCTGTAGCTTTGTTTATTGCAGTGAGGGAACCGCCAGAAGGCCCTCAGCGCTGGACCTCAGTATCAGGGCTGAACGATGGGTGTGGAGACGTTCCTTCAGGTATACTGGGCCGAGGCCGTTTAGGGCTTCAAAGGTCAACACCAACTCTTTGAATTGTGCTCAGAAACGTACTGGGAGCCAATGTAGGTCTTTCAGGACCGGTGTTATATGGTCTCGGCGGCCGCTCCCAGTCACCAGTCTAGCTGCCGCATTCTGGATTAGTTGTAGTTTCCTGGTTACCTTCAAAGGTAGCCCAATGAGGAGCACATTGCAGTAGTCCAAGCAGGAGATAACTAGAGCAAGAAGAAATGAAGTATGGGCAAACATAACAAAATGTATCTATTGTGCAGTTCTTTCTTCTTGCATCTACTTTATATGCCAACTTCTGCATCAAAGACCAAATCTGAGAGGTTCATTCAAGAATCAGGTCCCCAGATGAAGTCCTCCAAGGTTTAGATTTTTTTGGGGGGGGGGCGAATCATGGTTATGTCAAAACGTATGTAGGATTTGAAGCATAGCAACATTTAATAAGTTAGAATCAATGTATATAATGGGTAAAATATAAGAAATAGAGCAGGTTTATATAGTAAGAAAAGAGCACCATGGAGGGGTGGAGGGAAAGTCAATGGATATGAGAGATTTGTTCTGAGTGTTGCTTAAAATAATTTTTAAAATTTGAACATTTAATAAAAAGGTTATCCAATGTTTAGATATTGCTAATCTGGCTGCCACAATACTAAAACATATAGTGACATATATTCTTCCAGGTTACATGGAGCATCTGCAGACATCTTTCTTTCTTTCTTTCTTTCTTTCTTTCTTTCTTTCTTTCTTTCTTTCTTTCTTTTTTCTCGATCACTCGTAGCCTAGTAAGATTGTCTTCCATAAACACGGTTTTAACAGTGAGTCCGTAAGTGACTGTGGAGGCCAATTCTGGATCCACACATCCTTCCACAGTGGGGACATAGGTTTCCGAGCAGGAGATGATCACGGTGAGGATTTTTCAAATGTGCCTTCCTCTTAGCTCAATTCTCCCTTTCATCCTGAGTTTGTGCTTCTTCGAAGTCCATGACACCTTTGGTAGAGGCTATTCTCCAACTGGAGCGCTTGCAGGCCAATGTTTCCCAGTTGTCATTTTCAAAGATTTGCCTCGAGAGCTTCTTTAAACCTCTTTTGCTGTCCACTGGCAAAAACCTACATGCAGTGGGTGACAGTGGTGTAGAAATGTATCTTGTGAGGAGGAAGAAAAACAGTTGTGACCAGGTACATACATTTCAGAGGCCAGGTAATATAGATATGTCTGAGTTGTCCCCATGTGATAAATGCAAAATGTAGGCTGTTCCCCCCCTCCCCCCATTTCAAAGCAATGCTGATTTCCTTCACTGTAAAAAAATAGTACAGAACAAAGACGTGAGATTTTGTCCCGGCCATTTTCTTCACAGTGGATTTTTCGTTTTACTTTAATTAAAGAGTAATCATATGCTGCATTATTGGAAAGAACACTCTGGATGTGAATTAAAGGAAAATCTGGGACAATGTGAGAAGGGAGGGAAATCTGTAATTTAGGAGAAAGCACTGATCGTATCCAAATTGCTAAATCTATTTAACACTATTAAAGAAGCCTTAAATGGATTCAGCCACATTAGATGAATTCCAAACAGGAATTTGCACTTATTTGATCAATGGAAATGAGGCTACTAATGTGGATTTTGGAGACTGGTAGAGAATAAAGTGGATTAGTTATATTATGCTAAAAAGCAGGGAAGAAGAAAGGAAAAGGAAAAGACTTTTCTTCTTTTGCACCAAGCTGGGGCACATCTTACAGCCTGGGGGGCCACACTCTATTCAGGATAGCCTTCTAGGGGCCCACATATCAGTGGTAGGCAGGGTCATAGGCAAAGATGGGGACTTTTACCTTTTATTGAGTAGGCTTGCTTTGTGTTCATCTCTATGCCTCTGATAATGGAAAATGAATTCCAATTAGGACAAAAGAAAACACTATCAACGAGACTGTAAAAGAGGGCTGGTGCTTGTGGCTTGGGAGGGTGTGTGGCCCAGGATGACTCAAGGGCTAGGTTCTCCACCCATTTTACACATATGCATTTAGATCTGAGCCACTATCACATTAAACACACGAGATGGTCATGCAGATCACGAGAGCCAGTGTGGTGTAGTGGTTAAGAGCAGTAGTCTTGTAATCTGGGGAACCGGGTTCGCGTCTCTGCTCCTCCACATGCAGCTGCTGGGTGACCTTGGGCCAGTCACACTTCTTTGAAGCCTCTCAGCCTTGTTGTAGGGGAGGAAGAGAAAGGAGAATGTTAGCCGCTTTGAGACTCCTCCAGGTAGTGATAAAGTGGGATATCAAATCCAAACTCCTCTTCTTCTTCTTCTTCTTCTTCTTCTGAAGAACAATGCAGACAGAACTCTATTCATTGGATAACCATGACTAGGAAAACACTCCTTCCCCTCTCTCTCTTATTGCAATCAGCCACTAAGGAGAACGCCTCATAAGCATTCTGAAAAATCTGAGTGGGGGGAAAGACCTACTCCCTGTCCCCTCTTAGGACAGTGGTTCCCATGGACAACCTGAAAATTGCTGATGGCCTTAGAGGACCCCATAATTCCCCCGCCTGTTGCATCAATCGTCATGTGCTGTGCTAGGAGTGGAATGGTTTTTAATTGTGCTTTAATTGCTTCTTTTATTTCTCTCATTGCATTTTCTCGGGTTACAATTTACATTCCATAAAACACAAATTGTAATTTTAAAAAATACAATATAAGAAATAAAAAGGGCAGTAAGAATACAATTAGAAGTCGATATGAATATTTAATGTGGGTATGCCGCAGGCCACCTGAGTAAAGCTCACAGACCAAAGTTTGGGGAACTCTGCTTTAGGAAATGTGTGCCTTTGTAGCACTCAAAATACCTCCCAAGTAACAAGGGCTGTGAAGCTGAAGAACGTATTTGCATCTGCAGGCTAGAAAATGCTTCCATGTTAGAAGGAAGTCTTCAGGATTAGCAAGGTCCATTGTTTCACTCAATTGATGTGGCACTTTCTCAATAATGAGAAATTCCCACCGTTTGTGCAGCCATTGATCCAACAATAGAATTTTATCAGATGTGTGTTTGTGCGTGTATTGATTGCAAGTTCTTTTTTACTTTCTTTTCTTTTCTCTTCTTTTTCCCCCTGCAATGAGGATTGAAAATAAATCCCTATATTCAGTGCTTTTCTGTTACACACACACAAAAAAGGTGGCAGTACTCACCTTGAAGTTGTTACAATAAGTGCCACACTTTTAACCTTTTTTGTGTGTGTGGAGGAGAGGTGCTGGTATTGTGTACCCTTAAGTACACCCCCCCCCCAAAAGCACTGCCTATATCCAATGAACATATTATTGTTATGTATTAAAGGAGTAATATGCATAAGAAGCCAGTGGTGTAGCAAGGTCAGGTGGTACCCGGTGTGGAAAATTTCTTGTCACCCCCCCCCCGAAATTATTAAAAGAAATAAAAAATAAGATACAGTTCCAAGATACAGTGTTATTTTCTGGTTTATTTACTTAACTTTGTGAGCCTAAGCACTTAAAACCTTTTTTTTTTTTTACGATGGGAATTTCTTATGAATGAATTTTTTTGATGAAAGGGCATCACCAGAGCTGGAAAGAGGCCGCCCAGAGCACGAATGGCTGGCAGAGAGAGAAAGGAGGCCCCAAGTGCTATGGGTTCAAGAGCTCCAGCCCAAAGGAAAGAGAAGCATTGCCAGCTGTTAAAGGGCTGCTCTACCTCGTCTTCTTAGGACAGCCCTGCCCTTCCTGGAGAGGGAGGAGACCCCTAGGAGGGTCCTCCAAGCATCAAGGTGTCCCAGAAGAGGAGCAGAACAGGAGGAAGGGGGTGAAGTCTTCCTTGGAGCCAGAGAGACCCCCAGGAAGGGGAAGAAGGCCAATGTCGTAGGGCAGCTGGAGAGATGCAAAATGGAGCCAGGCAGAGGTGTAGTGGTTGGAGGGCTGGACTGGGAAGACATGGGAGAGCAGGGTTCAAATCTCCACTCAGCCATGAAGCTCCCTGGTGGACCTTGAGCCAGCCCAGCCTATTTTGCAGGGCTGCTGTGAAGATAACAACTGGTGGCAGGGAGAACCATGAAGGCCACCTTGAGCTCCTGGGAGGAAAGTGGGCTAGGACTGTCCTATTAAATGTAAATGATGAGAGGGGAGAGAAAAGGGGGAGGCAGGGGAAGAGTGTGGAGGAGCTGAGCTCTCTGGAGAAGACTGGCCGGGTCAATTTCCAGAGAGCCATGGCTGTGCAGGGGACCCCAGGACTCACCCCACACCTCCAGGAGACCAAGGAGTCCTACTTACAGTCTGCACATTTTGTTCACTTGACATCTTTCCGCAGGGCCTGCAAGGCGGAGCTGTTCTGCCAGGCCATAAGAACTTGCATGAAAGTGGCCTCCCATTTTTTCTCACAGGCCCATATAAGTTCAGCACAAACAGTTGGGCCTGGTGAGCATTTAAGGTCCCCAACCCTAATCTGCGGGTTGCCATCTGATTGGATTTTATTCTGATCCTGATCTGATTTGAGGATGTATTTTAATTGATTATCTGATTTTATGTTAATGTGTTATACATTTGATGTTAGCCGCTCTGAGCCCGGCTTCGGCTGGGGAGGGCGGGATATAAATAATTTATATTTATTATTATTATTATTATTATTATTATTATTATTATTCACGAAGAATTCCCACCCTCCTCTCTAAACTAGCCAACTATCTAAAATGCCCACCGAAGCCAAACTCTGACCCCAGCCCTAAGCCTAAGCCTAACCCCCGCCCTAACCCTACACTTACCCCTAACTACTCCTCTATAAACAAAATAAATATACAGAATGTATACAAAATGTGCACAAATGTGCACAGAATAAAAATGTGAAATAAAAATATATGAAAATAAAGAACAAAAAATAAAAAAGGAAAATAAAAGTGTTACAATAAAAAAGTAAAATAATAAACAAAATAAAAATAAATAAAATCAAATGAATCAAATAAAAGTAATAAATCAAATAACAATCAAATGAACACCTCTCCTTATCGTCTCCAACCACCACCACTTCCTCTCTCTGCTACTCAACTCGCCTCACTACTAACCCACGATAGCCACATGCAAGTCAGTGACTTTTAAGGGAAAAGCAAGAGTTGTCACAAAGGAGGGCAGGTCCTTGTCACCGTGGCAACCCCCCCCCCCAGACCTGGCCCCTCCTGAGAGGTGATGTGCCTCTGTCAGTACTTGGAGGCACCTGCTGTTCCGCTTGCAGCTGGGCTGCATCTTCTCTTTGCAGATTTCACATCAGTATTTCACATCCTTCTTCCTGCAGCCCCATTTCCAAAGGGAGACCATCCCCACATCCTTCGAGGCAGGTAGGAGTCTCCATAGCGCAGGATTGGACCATCTGCTTTGCATGCAGGTCTTCTGTCCTCTCCTGCTTAAACACAGGGAAGACAAGTGTTTAAAACAGTGTTTTGCACCAGGTTGCCAGGTTACATGAATGGGCTTGCCATTCAGTCTAAATCCACTCACCCACCCCCTTTATGTAATATACACCCTCTTTGACTCAGCCAACTTTGGTAAAATAAAAGTGGTAGAACCAGGCTGTTCCAGGCAAGGATGACATCACAAGTATGCCAAACCTTGGAGTGGACAACAGCATTTTTGGGCAACAGAATGTTTGGTTCAATATGTCAAAATGATAGCTCAGCTGGTTAAAGAGTGGCGCGGATAACCCCAAGGTCATGGGTTCAAACCCTGTACGGGTGTATATTTCTTCATTGTGGGAGTTGGACTAGATCAGTGGTTCCCAACCTCTTTTTGGCCATGCCCCACCTAAGCATCTCTAAAATCCTGATCCACCCCCCCCTCACCTTGACATATAATTCTTATTATTCAAAAAGTGAACTCCTATTCACATGGAGGAAGCCTTAAAGGCCATTAACTTGGTCTAACTCATTCTCGAATTGCCCCTCCCGTTAAAAATCAAATTGCCCCCCTCTGGGGCATGTGCCCCATATTGGGAACCACAAGACTAGATGATCCATGGTTTTTCTTCCAACAGCATGATTCTATTACAGTATAGCTTGTGATAGCTGTAGTTAGAGAATGTGTTTTAAACTAGCAATGTCCTGATTCAAATCTCCTAATTCAATGCTAGCCGCAGTACTTGAGAAAAGGCCTAGAGTTTACATACGTCAGCAATAACCCCAATTATGCTTCTGTACCATCTTAGAAATGCTGAAAGCATCCTCTTAATGAACGGGAGTCCACTCATGGGGAACTTTTGGCCCTCCATATTTTCCTGGACTATAATTCCCATCAGTCCCAGCAAGTAGGGCCAATAGCCATGGATGATGGGAGCTGTAGTTCATAAACCCCTGGCAACGCAGGGGTTCCCCACATCGACTTTCATAGTAGTAATGGATAATCAAATGAGTGCGAGCCAAAAATAACTTGACACAGCCATTTTCGAAGGGTAAGAGAGTAAGTAAACTTCTCTGTCCCAGATAAATCCCAGTCTTGGGAGATTAAATTGTTTCTTATCCCCCGGAGGAAATATTTTATCCCACAAGTTAATTAAGAATGTCAGCAACTGAGCTGTCACGCCTAATCAGGAAATAGCTAGCTGATTTGAGACGCAAAATGCTCTTCGCAGCATATGCAGGGAGACTGCAGCTTTGCTGCAGGCACCCCTTCTCTTCTCCTCTTTTCTCTTACATGAAGTGTATGGGCTGCGTCACACACTTAAGGTGATACCCAAATGAGCATGCCGGCAATGCACAGAGGGATGCCCTTGTGGAGGGCAGCACTCACCTGATAGTGCCATTTCAGGCAACCTAGGTTTGGAGTGGAGAACCTCAAGCCTGGGGATGACTGAAGTGCCACCAGGCCTCTTTATCTGGCCTTTGGGACTTTCCTCAGGCAGTACCCATATGACACACACATCATCAGCCTAACTTGGCCCCCTCTTGAAGTGCTGTTCCTTGCATGAAATGTGTCCTTGCACTGTGATCATGCCTCCTGCTTCCCTGGATGGAGAATGTAGGCGTGTGAGTAGAAACATTTGGCTTCACATGGCTAGAATGTAACCTACTGTGCAAAGCAAGGGTTGCACCCCTTGCTTTGCCTCTGGCCCTGATCACCACTGGCATGTGGCCCTCAGAAAGTTGTCCAAGAGAGAATGCAGTGCTCAGAGTGTAAAAGGTTTCCAACTCCTGGCGTAGGGGTTGTATACACAGGTAAAAGGTAAAGGAATGCTGGGCAGTTAAATCCAGTCAAAGGCGACTATGGGGTTGCGGCACTCATCTCACTTTCAGGCTGAAGGAGCTGCTGTTTGTCCACAGACAGCTTTCTGGGTCATGTGGCCAGCATGACTAAACTGCTTCTGGTGCACAGAGGACCGAGATGAAAGCCAGAGTGCACGGAAACGCTGTTTGCCTTCCCACTGCAGCGGTACCTATTTATCTACTTGCACTGGTGTGCTTTTGAACTGCTAGGTGGGCAGGAGCTGGGACCAAGCAACAGGAGCTCACCCCATCACAGCGATTCAAACCACCAACCTTCTGATCAGCAAGCTCAAGAGGCTCAGTGGTTTAGACCACAGCGCCATGCACGTCACAAGCATCCTTTGAGATCTTTGAAATCATGGCAACACTTTTTTTTGTCACAAGGTGCAAATGCTGGTAGCCCCACATGGAGGTGCCACCAAGCCTGTGACATTGCACAAAACATACGCAACCTTGAGATGAACTGGCAATACTACACACATTTATATGAGCTACTTGTGTTGCCTTCAGTTGCTCATTTAGAAACTCACTAGAAGCAAAATTAATAGTTAACCACCATTATTTTTGAAGATGCCTGGGAGATTGCAGAGTATAGTGACCACCTTCTCCAGCCAGTCTTCTGCAACTCTGAGTCAGCTCTCTAGGAACTGATCTCCTGGATCATAGCTATTTCTCTTAAGTGGGGGCACATGCTAAATATTTAGCCAGCAATCTTGATGGCAGGGACTGGGCAGTGGGTGAATGGTGGAGACCACCTCCCCAGCCTGACCCTTCCATAAAAGAAGGAGACAGTTCAGAATTACAACAGGGGTTTGAGAGAGATCACAGCTCAGAAGCAGATGAGGGGGAAATCTGAGAAATAATGGGAGAGGAGGAGGAGGAATAATGGGAGAGGAGGAGGAGGAGGAGGAAGAAGCACCAGGAGAGAGACAGCTGACAGACTCACTGTCTTTAGAAAGCATTCCAGACCCCCTCCTCCCAGAACCCAGTGGGTATTGAAAGCAGGAGAGCAGAAGGCACTGATCAGCCACTGTAGGGATGACATATAGTGGGAGAAATAGAGGGAGAATTACTCTTGGAGGCTGCATTTCTAAGCCTCTCTCTGTGACAATTGAATAAAAGCATTGGTAGGAACTTCCTTGTCTTATCCATTCCTGGCAACCTACTATCCTCTGAAGCCTGACACCTGACTCCTATGCGTCGGAAGCTGGAGTAAAGCAAGCTAGCGTAAGGTTATACCAGATTCAAACCTATTTCAGCAATGGGGCTGCTGCTGCTGCTGCTGCTCTGCTTAATCCTGGCAGAAAGAAAATAAGCCTTTAAACTGTGTTTTATACCAAGCCATGTGACCAAAGTGAACAAGCTTAGGATCCAGCCTAAGTCCTCTCTCTTTTGTCCCACCTCCACCAGGCTCCCAGAACCTCTCTGATCAGTTCATGGATGCATGTGAATCTCCAGTTTTCAGCTGCCCAGACAGCTCTTGTCTCTTTCCACTATAAAAAAGAACTACGGTTGAACCATGTGGCCCAACTCCTATATAGAAGAGGCAAACCTTCCTGGACAATACAGTGGTACCTCTGGTTAAGAACTTAATTCATTCTGGAGGTCCGTTCTTAACCTGAAACTGTTCTTAACCTGAGGTACCACTTTAGGTAATGGGGCCTCCTGCTGCCGCCGCACGATTTCTGTTCTTATCCCGAAACAATGTTCTTAACCCGAGGTACTATTTCTGGGATAGCAGAGCCTGTAACCTGAAGTGTCTGTAACTCGAGGTACCACTGTACTCAGAACCACACATGACACGTGCTTACACATCCTGCTTTCTCTTACAACCAGAAGATGACTTATTCTTCCGGTTATGTTGCACTGTTAATTGTTTTGCAACAATAGCGATAAGCATACTTCTGCTGTCTCCACCCCACCCCCCAGTTTCCATGCAGTATTGACGGCTGATTATTTAGCTACCATTATCACCGTGCATCATTTCTGCAGAGCATAACATTAGTCAAAAAAGGGGACAGAAAAAGACAATTCCCGCAGAGAGACACAGTTGGGTGTCAAAGCACTCAGCGCTAAAGATGTGTGGTGCACATCGCTTAGAGGGAGCATCACATATCTTTAATTATTGATTAAGAAGGTTTTATTTATTTATTTAAAAAAGTCTAGATAAAAGAAGGGTATGCCAGAAATATAGCTATCCACATTGTTGGTTTTTGATTGCTTTTTTTTAATAGTATGGATACCAGTGCTATTTTTCTATTAAATAATAATAAAAAAGAGGTGCCGGATTTCACCATGAACGCTCCCTCATTGTCCTAGAATGGCAATGGTTTCCACCTGAGAGGTGCCGGAACTGAGTTCCAGTGAGTTCCAGTTGAAAAACAGCCCTGGATATGGCTGAGAATGTAAAACAATAAGCTTAACAGAAAGAAAGGTGTGTTAAATCCATGCTGTGGTCTGCCATCCAAGCCCTTCACACTTGCATGCCCCTGATAGGGCAGTTTAAACATTTGGCTTGATGGGCTATCAGCCTAGCAATGCAGCCGGAAACTGCTGTTTCTTTGCAGCTGACAATGTGACAGACTATTCAAGAGACAACCTCCTGGCATCTTCTCTTATTGTCAGCCCCACTAATTAACTGAGGACAAATTTTTAGAACGTTGCTACATTTTTTTCCTGATTAATCACTGTGATTAATCTTAAAGCTGGCAGTCCTAGTAGAGAGGCCCTTAACTTTCCCATAACTGGCAAAACCTTACTCTTCTTTTGAAAGTTTAGTTGCCTGCATCCCATCCCTGTTCTAGATTCAGAAAATGCAAAGAGTTTTCCTAACTAAAATGGCTGACCTCTTTAAGCCTTGATAGTTTAAAGCAGAGATAACCAATTTGCTGCCCTCCATATGTTTTTGGACCATAATGTCCATCAACCTCAGCCAGCATGATTAATAGTCAGGAATGACAGGAGTTGTAGACCAAGAACATGTGGAAGGCACTGTGTCAGCTACTCCTGGTTTAACGTCCACACAATTACTTGAAATTATTATTATTATTATAATTTATATACCACCCTATATAAGGATAAAAATGCCACTGTTGAGTCAATAATATTTATTCTTTCCAATATAGTCTACTCTCAGTGTCAAAACAATGACTTGTCAATAATATTTTCCCATTTTCAAAAGACACTTGACATTATGGTAAGAATTAGACCCTTATTGGAATTGGGGAAATCAGAGCTAGAGAGTGCTCAAAGATTGGGCAATGTGTTAGAAGGTTAATTCGTGTATAGGTCTGTTAACTCCATGCCTTTAGCAAACCCATGTGGGAGGGAATCCCACTGTGTCTATTGACCATTTCCCTAGTAGCCATGCATTTGACATTAATGTGAAGGGGGCATACATAAATGCAAATGTACATGAATACACCTCCTCCATTCAATTGCATTGTAGGTGCCCTGCAGTTTATTACAACATCTTTCTCCCAAAGCACTGGGATTGGAGAGCAACACCATTTCCTCTTATTACAAGCTTGGCATGTCAGTCATAACAGAGCTCTCCTACCCCTCCTTTCCCCACCCTGGAATTTGCTGTCCCTTCTCTTCCCCAGTCTGGTATGCTTAGAGACATTAGTTGTACTTTTGAAGAAGTTGTACTTCTGCAGCATTTTTGGACGTCTGAAATGCCAGGCCAACACAAAACCTTGCAAGGGTCTCTGCTTCACTTCAGGATGCCTCTTACAAATGCTGTTTTGCCACAGACCAGGGTTGAAGAACCTTCCAAAGATGGCTTTGGACTACAACTCCCATAATTCCTTTACCACAGGCCATACCGGCTAGTAGAGCTGATGGGAGTTTGCATCCAGCAACATCTGGAGCGCCACATGTTCCGCATCCTTGCCTCTGACCAGGGACATTCCGGGGGGGCGGTCGCCCCAGGTACCATTCTAAAGGGGGGTGACAAAATGTTGACCCCCGATTGGTGGCACCCCGGGACGTGTGCCATGCCCCCTGCGACATAAGCCACGCTCCCTGGGACGAGTGCTGCTCCAGGTACCAGAGCAGGTTGCTATGCCTCTGCCTCTGACAATACCTTCAAAGAGACCACTTCTACTTGGGACTCTGGATTAGCTCCTTGCATGCTTTCACCAAGCTGACCACCTCATGGCTCCCCTCCCAATAGGCAACAGCAACATACCTTCTGGGAAGCAAGTACAGCTGCTGCACCCCACACAGCAAGCCACTTCTGGTATAGAAGCAGCAGCTATGAAAGACATCAAGGAGATCCAAGCTTATACGTTTAAATGGGAGCAATACATTTTAGCCCCTGTTTGCAGTGAGGAATACAAATGCAAGGGAAACACAATACTTGTTTAACAGTTCAGTTCATTTGCCGGCGATTTGGTATTCCACCCTATGCACAGTCCTCAGAAGGCAAGTGGATGAGGATAATTTAAAATGCTTCCAGATAGAATTTGGAACAACCTTGTTTCTGCAAAGAGCATACTGTTGCAACGCCAGGAAAGCTTTCGGCAGATATGCATACTTCTAAACTGAAGGGCAAGGCCAGCCTTTTTTGTTACAAGTGTCCATTTTACAAAGCTAAGCCTCAAGTGTTTCTGCACCATCACAAACCATCTTCATTGTTGGGGTTGGCTGGGAAACATACGTTCCAAACTGCTGGTGGCAGATGTTTGTCTCCCTTCCTTTCCTTCTAAAAAGAAATAAAATACTAAGTACTGTTTTGCTGTTGCTCCAGGTTGTGACAGCAGTTCCAGAAAGGACCATTTGCCCCCATCAATGCCACCATGGAAGGATGCTTTGAGGGATGTCACAATGAGCATGGGCTGCAGGGGCTGGAAGGGCAAGAAGAGGTGGCTGACCATAGGAACACAAGAAGCTGATGTATACAGAGGAAGAGCCTTGATCCACCTAGGTCCGTATTTATACTGACTAATAACAGCTTTCCAGGTGTTCAGACCAGCCCCTCTTCTACTTGGAAATTCTGGAAATTGAACCCCAGATGTTCAGCATGCAAACCCAGTGCCCTCCCACTGAACTATTGCCCACCATTTATAATGGTATAGGTGCTCTTTGGTGCAATGTTTTAAAGAGTAAATTTTGGACTCTGTGTGGCAATGTGAGAAACTGTGGTGGCATACGGGTTTTGGGGAGAGACCCAGCATTTGGGGACCAGTTAGAGACTATGGCATGTTGCCCCAGGTTGCTATAAGGACCTGTTGTTACTAAATGCTCCCCACCAGCACATTTTATAAACTCTAAAATAAAATTACAGCAACGTTTTGTGAGAGAAAATGTTGCCCTCATTTTAAATGTATCTTTTGGTTATATGCAGAATCTGTTATGACCTATATATGATTGCTGTGCATACTGAAATAGACCACATTGCTAAGCTTGCTTTTATTTATGTCTTCAGCTCTTCATTCCATATTCAGTTCTTTGCCCTTAGTTACTTCATAGAGGCACACACATCGCATTTATTTTCTGGAATGCTACTTTGTGTATTTATTTTCTCTTGCACTATTATGTGTGGTATTTAATAAAGTTAAGCTGTGCCAACTGGTGTGTGTGTGTGTGTGTGTGTGTGTTTACACCTAAGGTGAAAGGTCAAGAATATTTACCCCTTGTGGACAAGTGTTCATATCCATCTACCTGTCTACTGATACAGAAAACATGAGCTTGAGGCAGGAAAATTGTATCCCTTCTCTGTTGGTTGAATCTACTGCTTCAGGCTGATTAATGTTTAGATTCTGAGTTGAAGGTGTTTTTCCTGCTAAAGAAGGAGAAATAGTAAGTAGACCAGAATCTCGAGTGTCTGAAGCAAGCCAACTCTTCTATTTTCTTGCCTGCTCTTCCTAGAATGAATTAAAATTAGTTCTATAGAGCAGAAATCTATTGGAAGCATTGCTTATCTCTGGAGTTCATTGAAAGACAGGTTATGTATGACAATTACATGATAGGGGCAGATGATAATATGTCCGTATTGCTTCAGTGGGGAATCTTTAGCCTACCAGAGCTTGCTGAACTACAACTCCTATAACCCTTGGACACTGGCAATGCTTACTGGGGCTCATGGGAGTTGTAGTTCAGCAACATTTGGAAAGCCAAAGTTCCCCACACTTGCTTTTGCACTCTGAACACTCCTGACGCCTTGAATACCATGGCCTTATTTGCCATCAAATGCTCCTTCTAAGTCAAACACATACGAGAAAGTTTGTCACACAAAAACCTATTCACCAACAGATACAGAATCATAAACTTTGTGACTTACAGTAGATATAACCATCTATATAAGTGAGAGGGAAGACAAGTGAGGGTTACCAATATGATAAAGAGTCTGGAAACCCAGCCTTATGAGCAACAGTTGAAGGAGTTTCATATGTTTAGCCTGGGAAAGAAGAGAGTAAGAGGAGATATGATAGCCACCTTCAAATATCTAAAGAACTGTCACATGGAAGATGGAGCAAGCTTCTTTTCTCCTGCCTTGGAGGGTAGGACTTCAAGTTACAAGAAAGGAGATTCCGGCTAAACATCAAGAAGAACTTATCTGACAGTAAGAGCTGTTTAGACAGTGGAATGGACTCCCTCGGGACTTGGGAGGTGGTGAGTTCATATTTTTAATCAGAGGTTGGATGGCCATCTGTCATGGATGCACTAGTGGAGATTCTTGCATTGCAGGAGTTTGGACTCGGTGAAACTTGGGGTCCCTTCCAACTCTACAATTCTATTATTCTACCTATGTGCCTGCTTGACTGCTTTAAACCACATAACTGGGACTTTTATATGCACCACATAATATCAGTTCTGTACAGTATTTGTAAGGAATCAGCCACTCAATGTGGTGGCCACTCATTAACATTAGGCAGGCATTTTCACTGTATTTTATTTGCTACCTATTAAAAGCATTTTGTTGAAACAAGCCTACTCAGACATGTCCTTTGAACATGAAACTAAATGATGCACATTTAATTTAAAACCCTTGATTTCATTATATTTTGAGCAATCATATACCAATTTCTTTTTAACATTTAATTTTATAGGTATTTTCTAATTAAAGTTTCATATTGTTTTGTTGATTAAATGGTATATAAAACTTGTTGAATAAAAATAAATGAGATTGATTAAAAATGGCATTTGAATAAATTCAGTAGTAGCTTTAAGAAAGATATGAGATCTGAGATAAACTAAGTATTAGTCAGTCTATGATAAAAGTGTGTACTGGCAACAAGTAACATATAATTGAAACAGGGAATAGGAGGGAGGTCGGGTCTATAGTCCAAAGACCATTTTTTGCTTTATAAACTTGTAATTAATATTGTGTTTATCTCTATTTTCATTTGTATTCTTGTTTTTTCTTGTCTTTTGGTGTATCAATAAAAAATAATAAAGAAATAAAGAAATAAAAATAAAATGGCTTCCCAAGTTATAAATTTAGTTACAAATAAATAATTTGAGGTTGTTGGGCTTTCTTTTAAGGAAGTGTGGGGAAAGTGGTCTGAAGACTATACTGGCTGTTTTCCAGTGCACTTATTTTCAAGGCAAAGAATGCATTTTTGAGCATCAAATCAAAGGCACTTGCAGGCAGGACTCCGATGCAAGGAGAGAAGGGATCAGCTGCGTCAGAAAGACAAGCAGTGAAAATAGCAGAGGTGCTTCAGAGTCAGGCACTGACATCAGGACTCAGCCTGCCACTCAGGAGTCCCTTGAGTCACAGGCTTCGAACAAACCACACATTTAAAGCACATGGCTTTTCCCAAAGAATCCTTCGAACTGCAGTTCACTCCTCACAGAGCTGTAATTCCCAGCACCCTTAATGAAATATGGTTCCAAGGATTTGCTGGGGGAAGTCACATGCTTTAAAAGTATGGTGTGTTAGCAGCCTGAGCTGACATGTGTATTGTGAGAGTCTGTGGGGAGTTCCGCCTTGATTAATATTTACCTTACGTTTTTCATACTCGGAATTTATGGAATATGTGGATTTTTTACCTCCAGGATAAACATCTGCTTTCTGTAGTCTGTTTTTAAGAGGCTTTTGTGGCACTTTTACCAAGGGAGTGAGGGAGAAAGATAATTTGCACACTCCAGGTAGGACTCCTAGTTTGGCCTTAGGCAATGATTTGTTCCAAGCAATTTTGTACAGGTGTGTGGGTGTATTTTCATAATTAGGAAAACTTAATATTAAATCATTCCTCCCACCAAAGGTGGCATCAATATGCACACCCACTTCACTTTCTGCACTCCAGCTTTCAGGACCTAACACAAAGCCTTGAATGAAGGTGGCAGGTATTAATAGAAATTCATTTTAAACCAGCCCACTATTACATAAGCCCATAAATTTTAAAGTGACTTGGAAAAGGCATATTTTGAAGTATAAATTGTAGGCCTTTACATCAAAGTCTGACTCTTGACAGGCTGAATGGCTCCAGTCCTTCACTATTTATAATGACAACCTTTGCTCTGATATTTGGGTAAGATATCTGTGAGGTGTGTTGATCTGCCACATATAACTCTAGATAAGGCTGTGAGTTGCAATGACTCATGTACAGAATCACAGAATTGGAGAGTTGGAAGGGACTCCAAGGCTCATCTAGTCCAAACCACCGCAATGCAGGAATCTCGGCTAAAGCATCCATGACAGATGGCCGTCCAACCTCTGCTTAAAAACATCCAAAAAAGGAGAGCCCACGGTCTCCTGAGGGAGACCATTCCACTGTTAAACAGCTCTTATTGTTTACCAGCTCCATCTGGTATACAGGCTGAGACCCTATCTGCCTGTGGACTGCCTTGCCAGAGTGGTGCATGCTCTGGTTATCTCCCACTTGGACTACTGCAATGCGCTCTACATGGGGCTACCTTTGAAGGTGACCTGGAAACTACAACTAATCCAGAACGCGGCAGCCAGACTGGTGACTGGGAGCGGCCACCGAGACCATATAACACCAGTCTTGAAAGACCTACATTGGCTCCCAGTATGTTTCTGAGCACAATTCAAAGTGTTGGTGCTGACCTTTAAAGCCCTAAACGGCCTTGGTCCAGTATATCTAATGGAGCGTCTCCACCCCCATTGTTCTACCCGGACACTGAGGTCCAGCACCGAGGGCCTTCTGGCGGTTCCCTCACTGCGAGAAGCCAAGTTACAGGGAACGAGGCAGAGGGCCTTCTCGGTAGTGGCGCCCTCCCTGTGGAACGCCCTCCCACCAGATGTCAAAGAGAACAACAACTACCAGACTTTTAGAAGACATCTGAAGGCAGCCCTGTTTAGGGAAGCTTTTAATGTTTGATGTATTACGGTATTTTAATATTTTTTTGGAAGCCACCCAGAGTGGCTGGGGAAGCCCAGCCAGATGGGCAGGGTATAAATAAATTATTATTATTATTATTATTATTATTATTATTATTATTATTATTATCTTACTGTCAGAAAGCTCTTCCTGATGTTTAGTCTGGTAACTTGAGTCAAAGCACTGGGATGCATTTGGACTAAGTCATTCTTCAAGCAGAGTATACCCATTGAATTCAATGGAGCCTGTTAGTCACAACCTAGTTCAGTAGCAGTTGGTGAGGCAGCACAGGTGGGATTCTTTTGCATTCTCAGCTTCCCAGCTCTGAAGATTGAGGCTACTTATCAAGAGGGAGGGGGCATAATGTGCAGGAAGCTCAGTGCAGTGAGATGAAGTCTACCTGGTCTCCTGCCCCCACAGTCCACACCATGCTACGTTCCCTGTGCCTTGCTCCTCTCCTCTCCCTTTTGGTAAGTGACAGCAACCCATGATGTTGGGAAGCCAGAAGAGCAGCAGAGCCCCACACATTCCACCCTACCAGTTGCTACTGATCAAACTGAAGTCCCATTGGGTCTGCTATGGCCCAGGTTGAATCCAGCCAATGATGATTCTTGACTTCCAAGATTCCTAGGAAGTAAGAACCCAGCAGCTTCTCCAACAGCTCATATGTTACATTATCCAAAAGTGTGTGGAGCTTGAATCTTCTCCCTCATTCATAATTATTTCTCTCCTTGTTTGTCAACAAGCAAAATTATAGCCTGTTCTCATCTCTACTTTTTTCAGAATACTGGCTCAGTATTTTCTCCTGTTCTGTGTCCTTCAATATCCAAGCAAGTCATTTTCATCTCATGGTAAGGGCACAGTGCTATGGCCCAATAGCCAGTAGTAGACAGCCTGGTGTAGCCCCGCTGTTCACCTGACCTCTGGTCACTCATGTTCCTGTTCCTTATACTCAGAGGGAGAGCAGGGAAGGGGGAAAGTCAATGCACCATTGGTTCATTTGCTCCATGGTGACCTCCCTGCTGTCTTGCCCCTCCCTCTCTACCTCCTGGTAACCAGCAGCAATGTGACCAATGGGAGATCAGGTGGGCAATACCATCCCATTACACTGTCCACTACTGCCCACAACTCCACAACACAGAAGTGCTGAACAGCAATTTGAGGATTTAAGATAAAACACTTCTCCCAAATCATATGAAGCTGCCACAGTCTATAAATTGGTTGCACTAAAGTTAGCACTATGGGTGATAAATTGGCTAGGTTTGTCTGACTGCAATTCCCAACTCCATTGCCCATACAGGCTGGGGCTGATGCAAGTTTATGTTCAGAAATATCTCAAGGGCCACGGGTTCCCTATCCCAGATGTAAGCTGATCTAAGAAGAGAGAAGGGAGTTCCTTAGGCAACCCTGCCAAGAAGACCTTATCCTTAGTAGTCAAACATCTTACCTCAGAAGAGTCAGGTCTTCTAATGATGGTTTTAATAACCAATACCAACATCCTGTTCAGTATGCCCCAAATATTTTTCCTTGCAAAGCTCATATTTCAAATATGCAAGTTGGCAAAATAACTTTGTTGTTGTTGTTTCTGGCTGTACCATTATTTTCCATATTATGGAGGCGGTTTAGTTCCAACTATGAAGCTCACAATCTCTCACTTTTTTATTTTTTAGTGTAACTACACTTTGGGTAATCATACAAGCCTGTTCAGGACTCGAGCCAGCAGAAATATTATGTGGTTTATCTTCCACTCACTGGAAGCAAATGAGATTACTCATCCTTTTGAGCTAATCAGCATAATTCTAATTATCACACAGGCACATTTTTAGCCACTTCTATTTAAAAATCCTACAGAGAAATAAAATGCATTGGAGAGAAAGAAATGATGTTCTAAACTTCCAGTTTTGCTTTCCAGCCACCACATAACACATGTACAGGATTATCAAGTCCCACACTATTTCCTAACTTCTATGTGAGCAATGTATTTATAATAATTATTATTTGAGGTTATCTTGCTCTGGGCTACAGCAGACACAGCATAGCTCTCCCTCGGCCCTAGGCAAACCAAGTAATCAAAAAATTTGTACACACAAAATCCAGTTTGTTGCATTGCTCTCGTTATGCACACTAATCCTTATAATTATGCAAAGCAGGTTTATAAACAAGTCACAACTGTGGACCAAACTGTAAGTTAATATGGCCACTTATATTGTTGGAGTGGTTGCAGATTAGTCCTTAATTATTGGACTGTGTTCTCGGAATTTGGGTTTAAAGGGAGTGATGGGGAACTGAGGCACAACTTCACCTATGAAATTATTCCCTAGATTGTGCATCAATCAATATGCACTTTTTGTACACTTTTTGTACCTTTGTGAAAAGGTCTGCAGTGTGAGTGTCCAAACCAACTGTGAGGGGAACTTTCATATTACAGTGGTACCTCGGGTTAAGTACTTAATTCGTTCCGGAGGTCCGTACTTAACCTGAAACTGTTCTTAACCTGAAGCACCACTTTAGCTACTGGGGCCTCCTGCTGCTGCCGTGCTGCTGGAGTACAATTTCTGTTCTCATCCTGAAGCAAAGTTCTTAACCTGAAGCACTATTTCTGGGTTAGCGGAGTCTGTAACCTGAAGCGTATGTAACCTGAAACGTATGTAACCTGAGGTACCACTGTAATAATATAAAATCTAAATTAGTGTTCCATAATTGTACTAGTAAGACAGATAATTCCACACACCTTTGATGCCTGGCAGGAGTGCCCCTAAAATCTGAAAGTGTTGGGATAAAGCTATTGTCAAAGGTATTGACCAAAATGTGGGAAGCTTCTCTTAGGAATATCATGGAACTGCAAGGATTAAAAACCAACATAATATCCCCTCTGTTACACAAACTGTTGCTAATTACTCCTTCTGCTATCTCAGTCTGGATTCCTCACTCCCCATTTCATGCCTTGAGCTACCTGAATTTCCTTCTTCCACAGCAGGAATGATAATCTTTCATCTTAATGGTTCTTTATTTAGATTGTTTCTTTAACAGCCGTGCAACATATTCGGCTTCTGAAGGATTGGACTGAGCATTTCCATCAGTTCAATATTTGTTGCAAGCATATTAAATGTTATTCCTCGCCAAAGCGACAAATGCAAATCTTTTGTAGAAAGGAAATCTATTATAGGAGCTTATCGTTGCAAAAACAAAACAAAACGAAACAAAAACCCACAGATGGAAAGGGATTGCTTCCTTATCCCTCTTCAACCTTATTCTCTGAGGTAGGAGTTGGATGAACAGATGTTTAATCTTGGACCTTTTACAGATTAATTTTTAAATAGTGAGGTTCTCAATAACAAGTGCATTCATCAAGAGTTTGCCAATTTGTCACCATGCCACAAGCAACATGTTGCTCAACTGTTCATGAATGTGAGGTAATCAAATACCTAAAAGAATATGAAAAAATTAAATAAAAAAAACCTGTAGTATTCATCATCGGCTTAATCTCTACTCAGAAGTAAGCTGGCATGTAGGCTGCACTAGCAAGCACCTAACAGCTAGAACTTCCTGAAATTCCATAGCTCATTGATGTGGGTATTTGCAGAATGGGAGTCCTTCACATATACAGCTGTATACATGAAGGCTTCCCTTATGGCAGATGTGAGCAATTTCTTTTTGAAACCGAAAGCCACATTCCTTTGGTGGCTAGTAGTTAGAGGATCTGGACGCGGGTGGCACTGTGATCTAAACCACTGCGCCTCTTGGGCTTGCCGATTAGAAGGTTGGCGGTTCGAATCCCCATGACAGGATAAACTCCCATTGCTCAGTCCCAGCTCCTGCCAACCTAGCAGTTTGAAATCACGCCAAAAAGTGCAAGTAGAGAAATAGGTACCCCTCTGGCGGGAAGGTAAACAGTGTTTCCGTGCACTGCTTTGGTTTCAGTGTTCTGTTGCACCAGAAGCAGCTTAGTCATGCTGGCCACATGACCCAGAAAAACTGTCTGCAGACAAACACCATCTCCCTCGGCCTGTAAAAAGAGATGAGTGCCACAACCCCAGAGTCATCTGCGACTGGACTTAACCATCCAGGGGTCCTTAACCTTTACCTTTTAGTTAGGGGATCAAATGCTGACAATGGGTAGTGGGGGCAATGCCAAAAGCAATGAATGGGGATACCCCTTTTCCTTTCCCATCTTCAGTCATCATTCATCCATTCATTATCTCTTCCATTCATTCACTCATTTTCATAAACCAGTTTGAGGGCCATTGTAGGGTAGCGGTTAGAGTATCAGACTCTAACCACTTAACATCTAATCACTAAACATGGACCACTTATAAACACCATCTCCAATTCCTCAAAAAAATTGATGAAAGGTGTCTCCGAATTTTTTTTACGCATCACTTGGGAAGACAGGCGAACTAATGCCAGTGTACTGGAAGAAGCGAAGATCACCAGTGTTGAAGCAATGATTCTTCAACATCAACTTCGTTGGACTGGTCATGTTGTGTGGATGCCTGATTATAGTCTTCCAAAGCAACCATTCTATTCCGAACTTAAAAATGGAAAGCGTAATGCTGGTGGTCAACAAAAGAGGTTCAAAGACTCTCTCAAGGCAAATCTAAAAAAAAATGTAGTATAAACACTGACAACTGGGAAACACTGGCCTGCGAGTGCTCCAATTGGAAAACAGCCTTTACCAAAGGTGTCATGGGCTTTGAAGACACTCGAACTCAGGATAAAAGGGAGAAATGTAGTAAGAGGAAGACACATTTGGCAAACCCTCAGCATGATCAACTCCCGCCCAGAAACCTATGTCCCCACTATGGAAGGATGTGTGGATCCAGAATTGGCCTCCACAGTCACTTACAGATTCATTGTTAAAACCATGTTCATGGAAGACAATCTTACTTGGCTACGAGTGATAGAAGAGGAGGATGAGGAGGAGGAAGAAGAAGAAGAAGAAGAAGAAGAAGAAGAAGAAGAAGAAGAAGAAGTGTCAGACTAAGAGCTGGGATCAAAGGATGAAGAAGCTGCATTTAAGTCACTAGTTGGATCTGAGCTTTCTATCATGAGTGTTGAGTGCAAGGTGTGGGCTGCAAATGGGATTCTGTGTGTACAATTTGCATGGGGGTTCTCACCTTGATGACTCTTATTGGGTGCTCATGTGTAATTTATTGTCCCCACTGGTTTTCCCTGTGTCAAGCATGGAGCTTTCTCCAGGAAAGCTCCTTAAATGGCCAAATAGTAAGCATGCCTTGGGACTTGGAGATCAGTAGTAGAGGAAACCATTTGCTAGGGTCACACTGCTTGGTAAGAGCTATTTTACTGGGTGTAATCTGATGCTCTATTTTCCAAATATATTTGGCTCATTTTAGCAGGTTAAGAATACCTGAAATTAGGGGGTGTGAAACAAAATTTAATTATTTGATTACTTTGAGTTTAACCTGATTTGGACCCAAATAACAAGTCAAATTGGATCCAGAAGCAAGGCTACAGATACAAGGCTAATCCTGTGACTGGTGCTCATTCAGAGTTCATGAATTGATGTGAAGGTGTCCTGACAGCCAAGATGGCTGCTATCTATGACAGAGGCTTTCAACCTTTTTGAGTCCATGGCTCCCTTGACCAACTACATGCCTTCTGTGGTTCCCCTGTGGGGAAATGTGCTCCGAGTTATATCACCCTTTGCTTGCAGAGCCAACAGCCCCTCGCTCCTTTTCAAACACCTTCCCTTATGAAGTGTTCCCTTAGTCTCCTCTCCCCTCTCCTTGGGAGTCTTCTGGGCAGCCCCAGAGGCACCATTCGCCTGTGGAGGTTGTATCCAAGGCTGTTGTAACAAGCAGCCGTGCAAGCCTATGGGAGGCTGAGAAACGAAAAGGCATCAGAGGAAGGAGAGAATGAAAGAGGGACAGAGGCCAGTGTTGCCTGCAGCACCCTTGACCATCATTCAAGACACCCCAGGGTGCCATGGCGCACTAGTTGAAAACCTCTGATCTATGATACCAAAGGCATGACACAATAGTTGCTTCCCCCTAGTTAGCTCCTTGGTTCATAGAGTTATGCCAAGGGGGCTTCTCTAGTTCCCTTAGGTGTTAAAGATGGGATCAACCCCTCCAGACCTGTCTTATTATCTTATTATCTATGGTACTATCAGGCCCGTCTTACCCATAGAGACTAGTGGTGCGGGGCGCCATGGTGCCAAGTTCTGGAGGGCACCAGGCGAGAGTCCGGGGAACACCGAAAGAGGATGCTGAGTGAGCAAGGGTGAATGCGCTGCTCCCACCAAGCACCGGCTCGGTTTTTTCCCTTTACGCTGCAGGCTTTAAATTCTGCGGGGCACCAGAAGGCTAAAAGGCAAAAAAACTGAGCCGACACTTGGCGGGAGCGGCACACACACCCTCACTCACTCGGCGCAAGCCTGCTTGCTCGGTGTGCTGCCTGCCGTGGCCACTGCAGCACAAAGCGGCCAGCTAAGCCGGGAGGTGCCGCGTCCAGTCTCCGCCTCTTCCCCGCCAGAGGAGCTGCCCTCCAGCTGCTGACCGCCTCCTCCAGCCCTAAAAAAGGTTGAGAACTCTGGGAAGGGGGGGGCGCCGGAGGGATCTTTGCACCACAGCTCCAGATATGCTTAAGATGGCCATGGGTACTATGCCCTGTCCTTTTTATAAACTATGGTCTTCTTTTTAATGCCATTTCTAGCTATCAGCTCTGTCTTTGTCTCCTTTTTTTCCATCCCACTGCAAATGCTTAATTTAACACACTGTGCTGATACTGCTTAAACAGAAGGCACATTTCTGGGCATCCACTTATAAAAATTGCATTTAATTAATGTATTGACAACACATGATTGTTTGACTAATCAAAGCTGTTTATGTTGATTCCTACAGAATTTTCATTGTGGCTTTGGTCTATGAGTTGTTTTGTGATTTTAAATAATTCAAACCTAATTATTAGCATACATTACATTTTAATAACACAAAAAATGTCATTTCCCTCTCAGTGTGAGAAAGCTTTTGATAAGTTTTCCTCTAGTTTAAACAAGAGTGTTATAATTCTCCAACATTACAGTAGGCTGGGAAATATTCTTCAAAATGGGAAAGTTTATTTATAAAAGTACCAATTCAGATTCCGATAGCTCATTATCCTACTTTCGGAGTTCTCTTCAGAAACTCAGAGCATCTTTCAGAACTAGTTAAAAGGCTCTCTCCTCTAATTTCTACCAAACTGTGTAGGCCTGGGGCTTAATTAGAAATTTTTAAAGTTTCATCTTCTTCTGGTTGAAGCACAGACAATGTCACCTACTCGTGTAATTACTGTTCTACAGACAAAACAATGGCTTCTCTTGAATGCGAGGAAGAAAAGGAGAACATTTCTCCCACCAGACATAACTCAATGTTGAATTTATTTGATGCAAAGGAAATACATACAAACAGTGAATGTATGGAATCCACTTTCGAAAGCTGTGGTGATGACTATGAGCTTTTGTGACTTTTTAAAAACTGCTAGATAAAACCAGGAAAAATTGGTCTACCATTTACTAGTTACTATAATCCATGGTAGTTGCTTGGATGCTCCAAGTTTGCATGGAGTATATGAGATGTTTGTAACTGTGCTGGTCCCGGGGGGGGGGGTTACTGTGAGGCGTGGTCAGAGTCCGGTCCTGGGCCGAGGGTCTGGAGACTGTCCACCAAGGGCGAAGCAGGGTCCAAAGCAAGAAGCCAGGCATGGTCGGGAACTCTGGAAAAACAGGTCTGGGTGCTGGCAGAAACAGGTTTCCAACATCGTTGCTCCCACAACCTGGGACTGGGCTGACTGGCCTTTATCTCCTCTGAAGCCAGGGGCGGTCCCGGCCCACAGGTGACCCGCCTCTTCTGGCCTTAAAGCGAGCACTCCTCCTGAGAGAACCCAGTTCCCTCTGCCCTGAGCCTCTGCAGCTCAGGAGAGGCTGGAGGGTTCCTGGACCCAGGAGCAGCTTCACCTTCCCCTGACAGGGCTGGGAGAGCCGCACCTGCAGGCAATGGGTCCTCGATCACCTCCAGAGCCAGAGTGGATACATCTGGTGTCTGCTCCTGAGGATCCGGCACAGGTGCAGGCCCTTCAGATTCAAGCCACTGCTCAGCCGGCCCTGGAGGCAGGGACTCCTGTGCAGGCTGGGACTCCTCCGGTTCAGATTCTGAATCAGATTCCCAGGCCATCACAGTAACAAACCAGAAAGGATAGGGGTTCATCACACACTACTGATGAGCTTCTGGAGAAATCTGGCTGGGTGGGTGTTATTTGAATGGTGGTGAAATGCTAGACAGACCTTTGGGTTGTTCTGGTACTTCCCTACATTCTCACAGATGGCTTTTTTTTGTGTGTGTATTTGCAATGGTTTGGAATTTTGCAATTGGCAAGCCAAGGACAGGAGGATGGGATCAGAGAGAAGTTTGGTTTGGTTTGCATTTCAATATGAAGCTACCCAAAATAACATGAGACAAAACACAACTATCCTTCAAAATTCACACTTCTCCCAATTTTGTGATTAAGTTCGTCAGTCAAAATATGTGTACAATAATACAGTAACACCTTGGTTTTCGAACAGCTTAGTTCACAAACAACTTGAACACAAACGCTGCAAAACCAGAAGTAGGTGTTCTGGTTTTTGAACTTTTTCGGAAGCCGAACGTGCTCCATTTTGAGTCCCCCTGTGTTTTCTGTTGTGCTGCTAATTTGCGTCCCCCCCATTATAATTCAAGCCTTCCGTTTCCAACTGCAGAGTTCTGAGGTGATATTTGCAGCTTATATTTGCTGCTTTTGTTTTTGCTATTTATTTTGCATTTTTTGTTTTGAGGCTTTTTCAGTTAATTTGTTTTTGTGATTATGTGGATCCTAGTTCAACTACTGATTGATTGATTGATTGATTGATTGTGTGACTGCAGAAATGGATAAAAGCCCTCAATCCAAACAATGACTATCATCAGTGCAGGTAAGAAATGATAATAATTTTAATTTTTATCATCTACAATACTGTTTTATTTATTTTATAGCACACTACATTGATTATTGCTTTCATTTTATGGACCAATTGTCTTGTTAGATAGTAAAATTCATGTTAAATTGCTGTTTTAGGGGTTGTTTTTAGAATTCTGGAGCAGATTAATCCATTCTGCATTACTTTCTATGGGAAAGTGTGCTTTGGTTTTGGAACACTTTGGTTTTGGAACAGACTTCCAGAACAGATTAAGTTTGAGAACCAAGGAACCACTGAAATGCTTGCAGTTTTGGGTGAGGACTTTAAAAAATGCACAAACTGGCAAGGAATCATAGCAGACTGAACTTAAGACTGAAAAAAAAAAATGAGAAACCTGGAGAAACCAAAACTGGCAGATTCATCCATCAAATGAATCCATTACAATAGCTGAACACATGCTATTGGAATATAACATGACATGATAAAGTACAACAGCCAGTGTGATCAGCTGTTAATTTTACATGATCAGCTGCTTCATATATATCTATAAATTTAAAGCAAATCCAACTATCAGGAAGGGTGGAGTTGGAAGAATGGTGCTGGGAATGGGGCCGTTGGATCATTCCTCAATACCACCCACTCCCCCAACCCCAATACTCATTGAATCTGCCATTTGTATTGTTTTGGGTGTGGGACACTATTTCAGCAAAACAGTACAGAGGATAAAGGATAGACAAATTCCACCAGCTCTAATCCCCTCCAGATGTATGTGTTGGGCGGATGGACAACAGCTTTGATCTCACAGTATCTTTTCTAATTTGTCACTAAATAAGCAAATACAGTGCGTTGGGGGGCTCACATTAAGAACATGTAACTTTGACAGTCAATGTTGCTGGGAGAAACAGAAACATAGTTTCTGATACATCTTTGGGTTGAAAGATAGTACATAGTTTTGGAATTATTAAGCTGGTCAGGTAATCAAGTTTGATTGCATTTTTTCCTCTGAGAAAGTGGCCTGCTCTTAATTACTGGATTCGGTGCCTTTTTATCCAGTGTATGATGTATTCTCATTCTGTTGTTAATGTTATCATTCTGCTAAGTGATGTAACACGATGTAATTATCAATACGGTACAATGTAATCAATGAAGGGAATGCATGTGTTAGTCCTCTGGGGATATTCCCGTGCTGTGTTGTTGATTTTATTCTGTAAAAAGAGGGCACCGGGTTGCACAAATTGATTTGGGGAAATAGATTGCTCATTAACACACCAAGAGGAGAAGTATGTAATAGAATTTAATTCAGTGGAATGGACTCCTTTGGAAGGTGGTGGACTCTCCTTCTTTGGATGTTTTTAACCGTCTGTCATAGATGCTTTAGTTGAGATTCCTGCATTGCAGGACTAGATGACCCTCAACATCCTTTCCAACTCTACAATTCTATGATTCTATCATGACCACTGGTCTCATCACCTCCTGGCAAATAGAAGGGGAAGAAATGGAGGCAGTGAGAGATTTTACTTTCTTGGGCTCCATGATCGCTGCAGATGGTGACAGCAGTCATGAAATTAAAGACGCCTGCTTCTTGGGAGAAAAGCAATGACAAACCTAGACAGCATCTTAAAAAGCAGAGACATCACCTTGCCAACAAAGGTCCGTATAGTTAAAGCTATGGTTTTCCCAATAGTGATGTATGGAAGTGAGAGCTGAACCATAAAGAAGGCTGACCGCCGAATAATTGATGCTTTTGAATTATGGTGCTGGAGGAGACTCTTGAGAGTCCCATGGACTGCAAGAAGATCGAACCTATCCATTCTTAAGGAAATCAGCCCTCAGCGCTTACTGGAAGGACAGATCCTGAAGCTGAGGCTCCAATACTTTAGCCACCTCATGAGAAGAGAAAACTCTCTGGAAAAGACCCTGATGTTGGGAAAGATGGAGGGCACAAGGAGAAGGGGACGACAGAGGATGAGATGGTTGGATAGTGTTCTCGAAGCTACCAGCATGAGTTTGACCAAACTGCGGGAGGCAGTGGAACACAGAAGTGCCTGGCATGCTCTGGTCGAAGAATCGGACACGACTAAACAACTAAACAACAACAACAACAATTGTTTGGAGTTAGAGGATATGAACATGGCCAAAAGCTGAAGCTGATTAAAATATAACTAGCACCTTTTCTAGCATTTTACACCATCCTTTTCATCTACCTTTAGTTGCACAAGTGTCTCTGCTGTTGTTTTTCTTTATTTATACTAGCATTTTCACCCTGCTTTTCTGTGACAAGTGCACACAACAGTGGCTTTCAAAGCAAAAGAATGCACAATACAATGCAAATTATAATACAATCATAACCATGAAAAACACAAATATAATAGCAGCATCAACATCACAAAGCATCTCAGTGTGCAGCTAAAACATTATAGGCTCTAAGCAAAAATAACAATAGTGAATGCCTGCATGAATAAAACAGGCTTGAGAGCCCATTTAGAAGCAGTTAAAAGGTGGGGACAAATGATGAAATTCCCTTTGAGGGCAATTTAACAATTTGGACCTCTCAGCTGAAAAGGCTCTCTCTCACACCCACCAACTGTACTTTCAGTGTTGAAGACCCAGTACCACAAAGAGGACCTCGTGAACGTGAAATGGGTACATTTGCTAATCCAAATATAGGGCAGAATGCAACTAAATAATTGCACTAGCACAAAGATCAGCACTAGCATTCTGGAGGGTGGGAGAAGCCCCAGCACAGATTAAGCCTGGGGAAGGAGAAGGGGAGAATATTCATTTGTAAAAGAAAACACACCCAGCATAGCACCAAGTTGCATACAACTCATAAGCAAAATCTTCCTGGTGACTTATTTTGACATGTTGCTATCTCACAAGTGGTAGAGCTCCAAAAAGCCTTGCTTTCATGATATCAGAATGAACTGCACAAGTGGAAGCTTTAATATATATACACCTAGATCAGGGGTCTGCAACCTTTAAGACAAAAAGAGCCACTTGGACCCATTTCCGAAGAAAAAAAAACTGGGAGCCACAAAACTCGTCATTATAAAAATAACTTTTTTGTCACTTTTTATTATTTCTTTGTTTGACCCCTCAGAATTACTCCTCCTCATAGAAATAAATGTTAAATTAACAAGTTACCTTTTTGTGTGTGTGTGTGTTCTTCACTCCCCTTCAAAACAGTGACCAGCGTACATGCCCCCTTTCAATGCAGTGACCAGTGTACATGCCCCTTACAATGTAGCGGGCGGGTGGGAAGGTGACGTCGGGACAGTGCGTGACTAACGCACGCACCGCCCCCATGCGACGTCACAGCCAGTACAGCGCCCGCCACAGTGGGGAGTGCGCCTCCTCCCCTCGCTAGTATCCGCCCCGGAGCCGCGGCAAAGGTGTAAAAGAGCCACATGCTGCTCCGGAGCCGCGGGTTGCAGACCCCTGACCTAGACCACCATGGGAGAAACCACAGAGGCAGTAAATCCTGTGCATAGGTACCTTCTGTCTGTAACTGGGAGGAAGACTGATACATATACTACAAATTGGTTCCAATATATGCAAATCGCTTCTCACACAGCTCAACTCATGTGAACAGTGTAATGTCTATAGATGCTAACATGTATGCTGACTTCTTAAAACAATTCACAAAGCAATGCAGAAATGTGGCAAACCGGATTGGAGCCTGGATGAATGAGAAGTGGAGAGAAAACAAAACTGAAACACTCTAGTAACACATGAGACTCAAACTACTAATGATGGGGACCAGGGGCATTCCAAGGGGGGCGGGGGATGGGCTGCTCCAGGTGCCATTCCAAAGGGGGGTGCCATGCCCCCAGGACATGCACCATGGCCCCTGTGGGCGGCACACCATGCCCCCTGGGATGAGCTCCGCTCCAGGTACCAGAGCAGGTTGCTTTGTCTCTGATGGTGAAAGACCCTGTGGCCCCAACAGCAAGGTCTTGGCAAGGTTGTGATATTAGGAGCCAAATGGAGATGGAGGTGATAGGAACTGGACATCTGCTCTTCTATAGAACTCATTTTCAAGCCCAGAGTGTCATTTCTCTTGATATAGACTCCCATTATTGGCAAGAAAAAGAGTGCCAGAGGAAGGGGCTGCAGGAGGAAGACAATCCATGTTACCTGTTGTAGAAAATGGTGCTCCAAACAGGTGTGAACTTCTAATTCTTTCCTGCAGTAAGTGATCCCAAGCTAAGGAGCTGAATTCCCAGTTGTTTCCTGCCCAGGCTGTATCTAGACAATAAGATGAGATCACTGTCTCTAAGGTGCTGCTCCTGCAGCTGGCTATCCTTTGTGCATACATAAATCTATTTCTGTCTCGTGGCTCTGCAATATTACATGCCCTTGCTGAAGTCTGATATCTAAACCTTCCTCCTTACCTGTTGATTCATTGCAGTTGTGGGAATGTTAAGGATAGAGGAAAGGATATACTGAATATTCTTCCTTCACTCACGCTAGTAAGTGATGTAGCAGAGCATATTCCCCTCAATATAGCTGGAAGCTAGTTTGCAGATTCGTTTGACTCTCTTAGTTGAGTTTATTCCTGGTGTCCCCTTTGATCCCTCCTAAAAGAATAAAGACACAAGAGTCTTTCTGAGTAAAGTAACAAAAAGTTAACTCATGTTTCAGTTCACGATTTGATCCCTGAAAGGCAGACTTTACTTGGTAGTTACACAAAGAAACTGTAAGTTCATCTCATAGGGAGAATGAACTCATGTGCTGCTGGCTGAGATCCAGCAGACAGCAAAATTACATTAAGAATACAAAATGGCTGCAAAAGAACAGCAACAAGACAATAGCATTATCAAAACGAACTGAGAAAATGGCTGCATGAATCAGCTCTTTTATGGAGTCAGCCAGAGCCATGCCTATCTCCCAGATCACACGCAGGGGGAGAAAGCTCCAGAGCAGTGGAACAGGAAGTTTCACTGACTGGATGTCCCCCTGCATGTGCCCACTCTAAGCAAATAAGGAAAGTTGCATTTGACTGTACCAATGGATTATATCCCACAGAGGTATATGTGTGTTTGTCTCCACTGTTTCATTGGACTTTGAAGAACTACTGAACCTTCCTGATCAGCTGCACAACTGATTCCCCGGAACCTAACTCACTTCAGTGAGTTCCATCCATTGTAATACAATGGTATATCCAATGAATAAGTGCATGGGAAGAAAAAGATGCAGATATGAGACTTGAACTTCTCGTGCCATAAATGAATTTGTCCCCAAATGCTGTCCACATCATTTCACCATCTATGTTCCAGCATTAGGAAGGTATCAGAATGCAAATCATAGAATCATAGAGTTGGAAGGGACCATGAGAGTCACCTAGTCCAACTCCCTCCAATGCAGGGATATTTTTGCCCAATGTGGAGCTCAAATCCACAACCCTGAGATTAAGAGTCTCATGCTCTTCATCCTGAGCAATAAAGCATGCATTATCTATTGCTAAATATATCGGACTAAATATTGAAATATAACATGAAAATGGCATTATTATTCACAGATTCACTTTAATAAGTTTTCCGTATCATTTCACTCAGAATTAGTTTTCCATATCATTTCATTCAACGCTATCATAAGTAGGATGGACAAATATATCTGCCGCACCACCCAAGGTCTTCAAGATAGTTTTGGTGCTAATCAAATCAATTAGCAAAGGTGCTAATCCAGTGTTTTGCTTCTAAAAGGCATCAACTGGAAGCTCATCAGTAAGGCATAAAAATGAGGCACCTCCACTGTTTTTGCCCTTCTGATATGTACATTGAAATGGGGTTAACTGAGTCATATACAATTTCTGTGGTCACACAGGTTTTTCCTGTAATTCATTATGATTTATTACTTTTGTTCCGCTTCCTCTGTCACTAACTCTACAGTCCTATACTCACCTACCTGGCAGTGAACAAAATAGGGCTTACTTCTAAGAAGACATATATAGAATTGCATTGTACATCACAAGGAGCTGTTATTATTAATGATGAAATCCAAGGTGCATTAATGGATCTCTTTCTTTTTCTGTCCCCTTCTTTACTAATGATTTTTTTAATCCAACTGTACACTTATGCCCTTTTGAACTTAAATATTGTAATCCAGTGTCTGAGGAAAGATTGTTGTTGCTGTTGTTGTTGTTGTTAGGATCCTATTGGTTTGGGAAGTTGTTTCCACACCCAATATGCAACAAATATTCTTTAGCAGTTAAATTGCTTCTCAACTATTCCTTTCAATCTGCGTGTTTCCATCTTTTAATTTGCATTGTTTTAATAGATTTTCTGACTGGCCTCAAGGTAGTCACATTTGTTTAAATCTTCAATAAATCTTTAATGGGAACCCTTTTATCTCCTGGACCTGAGACTAGTTTGAAACTTGTATGTAAATAAGATCAGCATGAATTATGTTTACTCCCATTATAGCATTTAATCATTCAAATGCATATTGAATTTACTTCCAACAATGGAAGAACAAATAGATTACTCATTTAAGCTGGCAAAGGTATCGTCAAAGAAAGAGAAACTTCTCCTTCTAAATGGACAAATGTTCTTTCTTCCCAGTGAAAAGATGACTTCTTTGGCGCTCAAATGTCCTTAACTGTACACAACATGGGCACAAACCAGCCAAAGCTAAGCATATTTCAGGCCTGTTAAAGTGAGTGAAATTTATTTGACTTTTACTGGATTCTTCATTTTGGCTGGATCATGCCCATTTTGTGGGATTGTGATCCAATCCTTATATTTCTCGGAAAGGGGTTTTAGACTGAACATGCACACACACACAGTAACAAAACTGAGTTTTTGTTAACAAAATTAGATTTTGAACACTATTCACATTTTGCAAGTATTGGAAAAAGTCATTAGGTAATAAGAGGTAGGTTTTGACATGTTTATTCTTAGGATTGAAAGTATGCATTGTTTTTCATGAACGCTTCTGACAGCTTCAAAAAAATCACTCTCCTTTTTTTGCAGGTTCTGTGAGACTGCTGCTAAAGTAATTGTCTAGTCAGTAAGCACTGCCTTTGAATTTGTCCTCAGTGATATTAAAATGTAGCTAAAACAAGCTGACCACATTGTGTTGTGACATCACCTTATTTGCTATGTGAAATTAGCTGTAAAATAAGTAAATAAATAATTAGCAATTAGAACGAATATAGTACAAATGCATTAAAAGGGGGAATAGAAGGAAGTAGTGCTATAAAATTATAACTATTCGGCCAAATAAGCATTTTTATTTTTTTTAGGGACGGGGAAATCACTTACACAGAAGCATTACTTTTTACCTCAAAATCAGCATGAGAGACTATCCTGATTTACATACCTATATATCATTATGGGGGGGAAATTAATACAATGCAAATACTAATAGCTTGTGTTTGTTTCCATCATACGTCTTTGTATGTGTGCTAACAAACATATTGCTATTCAGCGCCACTCTCCAATGCTCAATGAATTTTCACATCACCTTTTCACAAACTATTCTCCGTGTAAACATCGGCAACATTTCAAATAGCTGCATGCTCAAAAGCCCCTTAAATCCAGTGGTTATTAAATGGTGAGTATCTCAGAGTACATGGTTAGAATTATGAAGCCCAGCTCTCCTCTTCTGTGCTTTGATGGAAGAAATATCAAGGAACGCCGCTTTCACGGAAAGTAGTAATGACAAAATATTTGCATATAGAGAGGTTATCTTGGAAAGCAGCTGGGCTAATTCAGGTATTCTAGTAAGGATATTTCCCGTGCAGAAGAAGGCTTTAGTGCATGGACTGCTGTTCTAAAAATGCCCTGGGGAAAGGATACTGCCTCTTGCTCCATGTCTTTTGCTAAATAGATGGTTAGCATTGTCAAGTTTCCAATTATCTGTCCTTCTCCGATTGCATTTCACGAAACTAAAAGAAAAAAATGCTCCCTCTGTCCACCCGTCCCTCCATCTAGTCGGCCCATTGTGTTCAATGACTCTTGTTTCCAACTGAGTATGCATAGGGTTGTCCACTAAATTCAATGGAGAAGAAGAAGAAGAAGAAGAAGAAGAAGAAGAAGAAGAAGAAGAAGAAGAAGCCAATTTAAGTTCAGAGTTAGGCTTTCCAGTATTGTATCACGATCCACAAAGCCAGGAAACTGGAAGATCAGACTGATGTCTTAATAGACATGCTTTGTGATCAGTGCTGATAATGTGCAATGTCGATGTCACAAATTGTGTCTGTCAACATTTCATAAGGCAATGCAAGAAGCCCAGGAAACATGGGACATATGTGCTGGTCCCAGGCAGAGGAAGTGGGTCTGAAAGATGGAGGGAAAGTGTGGGTGCATGTAAGCTAAGTTGTAAACCTTTCATATTTGAAGCCCAAATCCACATGGGGAGGATGGAGGGCTTGGGACCAACAAATATGCCACACATTGTCCTGGGCTTGTATTGCCTTATGAAGCATGTGGGCATTACAGTATTGCTATAGGAATTATCTGGTGATTTGATCCACACCCATTTCTTCCTTCCTTTCTTCCTTCCTTCCTTTCTTTTTGAGTTTCTCTTTTTTTTATTTCTACTTTTCAAGTTTATACATTTCACTAATTTTATACATTTCACTAAGTTTACAATCATTTTGACATTTCAAAACTTGTCTTCCTTCCCCCTCTTTCTGTGGTTCCTTAAATGATGGGGGTGGAGACGCTCCTTCAGGTATACTAGGCTGAGGCCATTTAATTGCTGTAATTGTGGCAATTTTTACAGCATATACAGTGGTACCTTGGGTTACATACGCTTCAGGTTACAGACTCCACTAACCCAGAAATAGTACCTTGGGTTAAGAACTTTGCTTCAGGATGAGAACAGAAATTGTGCTCTGGCAGTGCGGCAGCAGCAAGAGGCCCCATTAGCTAAAGTGGTGCTTCAGGTTAAGAACGGGCCTTCGGAACGAATTAAGTACTTAACCCAAGGTACCACTGTGTTTGAAATTTGGCACATTCATAGCTCTCCCTCACTTAGGGTTGCCACATTTCAAAAAGTGAAAATCCAGACACAAACTTTGTTGAGTTTTTTTGTCCAGGTATACATCATGCATTCCATGTGTGTGTTTTTTTCTCAGCAGGTGCCATTTTGTATAAAGCTACAGAAGTTTAAAACTTAGAACAGCCGAAGCATGCAGCTGCTGCTATTCTTGCATTCCATAATAGATTTCACAAATGTTGGCTCTGAATCTAGTCATCTGCAAATATGGCATGGGCGTGTGACTCATTGTACAAGAATGTGAATAGGAGGTGCCCACTGGAATTTTCCTCAGGATCAATCTCTACTTGGATGCACATTTGGCAGTGTATCTCAGAGCCCATTTGCTGAATATCTATACTTCTCAATCCAGGAATGATATGCTCCTAAAAGCCTGCTTTTAACCTGTAAATCTCCTTAGCTGGATTGGGGCATTTATTTTATACATCTCTTTTGGGGGCTTTAAAAAAAATGAGCATGGGTTTTTCTTGCCATATTTGCCTGTTACAACGGCCATTCGTTTCTTGAAGTGTTCCTGCTGGTATAAGACCCAGGAATTCTGGCAAGAAAAACAATGCTGAAATAAGATTTTGGCATATAATCTAATTTTTAAATGTTGGGGTTTTGAAGAAGTCCCTCCAGCTGCTGTGTGTGATGAAAGATTCTATTAAGAGGAGTTGCAGGGGAGAAAAACAGAGGGGAAGGAGGAGGCAAGACTACAGAAACTTTTATGAATTAGTAGATGTGCCTTATCAACTCAGAACAGAAGGAATATTTGGAAGCAGTGACTTCAGTTCGGAGTTGCTGTGAACCCCTTTTTGGAACAGCCTAGGCTTTCCCTCCCCTTATGTACTCAGTGCAGTAATTTTTGCAATGCACTTTTATTTTTAGTTCCTTTTGATAATGTGACACATTAAATCAATAGGTAATTTGAAGAAGATGGAATCTAATTTTATTTTCCCATCTCCCAGCTTCTGAGTTAAAAAACCAGAACTAATGGGGCTTTTTTTTTTTTTTTAAAGGAAGTTAAAGTCCTGAGTATAACATTTTTGTGTGCCTGTGACTATAAATTTGCCAATGCATTTGCAATGAGACGTGGAAACAAAATGCCCTTGGTTTTATTTTAGGAACCACTCGTCTCTGGTCTGAGCTGTGTCTCAATGATATACTTTTAGTTTTAATTATATTGGCTGCCAAGAACGCAGTCAAATAATTTTCCCCACAATAAAACACACGTTAAAATTTACTAGCATGATTAAATTAAGTATAAGCTGATTAATTTAATAATACTCTATTTCTGCAGTGTCTTTTCTGAGTTTTCAGAAAGCATCTGAAAAGGAAATCCCAGGGATTCTCTGCCTCCTTAGGCCCTTGTTGGAAGATAATGTGGCTCAGGTTCAGAGTCGGTTGTATATTAATGTCAGAACCACCATACGTTTGGCATACGTGCTAGCATCTTGGCTTCTGGTTATGGCACCCACCTACCCCTTCTGTGTTTCACTGTAGGTTTATCCAGTTGCTGAAGGGCCAGATAGCAGGGGAAGGAGCTGATTTGATGCATGTCTGGTTCACATACCAAAAGCCTTGGGGCTTGGGGAAGGTTTCTCAGCTGGGGCCTCCTACAACACCAGAAGGTACAACTGGTTGAGACTAGAGTGGCCATGTTTCCTTTCAGTTCTGTTTGAATGAGTCCTTTACCTGAAGGGCTGTCTGGTCCACATCTGTATGTTCTAAACAAAGAAACTTAGAAAGTGAGACAAAGTTGCTCATCAGTAGCTGAGCAGCCACACAAGTCCCCTAATCGCAATCTTACTCAAAATAATGTGATGTAATGTATTACTATTTCAACTGTAGCCATTCTTGCTGAATGTCCTGATCCTGGCCAACCTGATAACCAGTCACTGTGCCAAGTCCAAGTTCAAAATTCAAGGGTCAATCAGCACCAGCAAAGTCCAAAATTCAAACTCCAGAGGCCAAAGGTCAGGAAATGAGGTTCAGGGTCAATCCAAGTCTGAAGTCAGGATGCAGTCCAGCTTTAAGCCCAAAGTACAGTCGCATGGAGGTCCTTGACTATCCACGTCAAGGTCCTTCGACATGGGCAAGTGAACAAACACAGCACCTCAGCTCTGCTGTCCTCTTATGCTATGCCTCCTGGGATTGATGATGCATGTGACCCACACCTGCTCCCAGCCTATTCCAGCTGGGGAACCATATACCTCCTCTCAGAACTAGTGAGCCCGACATGGCCAGCTAGTGAGCTGGGCTGTGGGCCCTTGCATGCCTTCTGGAGTGTTCAAATGTTGTTGAGGGCCACCAAAAATATCTTGAGAGCCACATGCAGCTCTTGGGCCATATGCTGAGCTACCATGACCTAGCAGATGCTTGGCCTCCCCAGTTCTGCCTCCTCTCCACTTTCAAAATGCCCTGTTTCAGCACTTTACACCGGATGCCAAGGGTTAACATAGTGCTGGTAGCAACTTCTTCCTGTCCACATTTTCAGTGCATGAAGCGAGAACCTCCATAGAAGTGGAATCTTCCCCTGCAGAACTGGGGGGAGGGACACATCTGCCTTATCCAAGCCCCCTCCAGTATGTTGAGTTGGGAGATTGGATTGCTCTTTCCATTAAGTAGGGGTGGGTTCTAGGTGACTCCTGTTTGTAATAGTTCCCACACAGCTTGCATTATTTCTGCAGATCTCCTGTGCTTTCCTTACCAAATTTCTGCCCTAAGTCATTGTGGGAGGAGCAGCTTTAATTACAGCAAAATAGCTAATGTTTGAAATACAAAATACAATACAATATAACATATTGTATTATCAAAAGATTCAGCATTCTGAAGTGTGGAATCCTAATGACTTCTAGCTTCCCATAAAAAAAACAAAACCCAGAAATTCGGCAGAATTGATTTTGTATTCAGGAAATGTTATCTGCCTAGAAAAAATTAAAGACGGCAATGTTTACCTTTCTTACAAAATAACATTTTGCGACTGTTCTACTTCCACATCTTTCTGGTCTATTGTTTAAAGTCTATATTTGCTATTCACAAGTTTTGCATTGTGTGGTGAAAGCATTCCTCAAGTAGTCACTCACACAAAACGTTCTCTTCTTTTGTGTGCCCCCCCCCCTTCACTTACATCTGGGTAAGTGACGCTCCCTTCAGACATTCCCTTAAGAAACAGATTGTGAGGATTTATGGGAAGTTTATATGGCTGTCGTTCTGTTTCATAACAACTGAACAAAATGAAAAAAGCAATCACCCATAATAAACTACTATCTTATGGCAGTAAATAGAACTGCATAACATATTACCCTAGAGCTATGTGAACTTTGAAATACATATGCTTGCGTTTAGCTTTATAAGACTTCTGCAATGCGCTGTAAGTTTTCCAAAGTTAAAGCTCTCTATTGTTGCTGCTAGAGAAACAAATATAGTGAAACTTTAAATGTATCTCAGTATCTTGCAAAAATATAGAATGTAGAAGTTGGTCCAAGTTTTCACATGTCCCTGAATAATCTTCCATTTAATTGAGAGAAATTACTTGCCTACATTTTAGCAGAGTTTATACATTCATATACCGTAATTAATTTCCAAGCAAAAATGACCCCAAGTATTATGCAGTTAGCATTCCTGCTGTTTAGTCACATGGAAAAGATCAGAGCTTAAAATAAAAATAAAAATTAAATTCCCTGAGGATTGGGTGGGGTGAGATTCCCTTTCGGCCACATATGCATTAATTGCTGTTTATGCTCATTTCAAAAACATTTCTCAAGCAGCAAAGTGTCAAGAACAATTCTCCCCACCACATGAAGAAATGAAGCTGCTTTGTATACTCAGCACATTGGTTATCTGTTCCAGTGCCATTTTATTTATCCAGAAGTGCCTATCCAGAATCTTTCCCAGTCAGTAAGCAGAGAAAATAATAAATAGACAGCTTTCTCAATGGAGGCATGCAAGAAGTGAGGTTCCTGAGGCAGAGGTGGCTCACCATTTGGGGTGGAGCCACTGTGTTAGTTTCTCAGGAAGTGGGCTGCTACTGTTTATCAAGTGTCAGGGGCTGGACTGGGGAGGAATGGACAGTATAGAGTAAGAACAGTGGTTTGCAGAAGGTCATAGTTCAGAGGGTAGAAGCTGGAAAATATTGGGAGAGCAGCAGGAAGAAGAAGCACCAGGGGAGAGACAGCTAACAGACTCAGTGTCCCTTGAAAGCATTCCTGACCCCTCTCCCAGAACCAGGCATGCCTTGAGAGTAGTAGAACAGAAAGCTCAGAGGCAGAAAGCACAGATCAGCCGGCGCAGGGGTAACATGGAGGAATTGAGGGGGTAGGACTTTACTTGGAGCAATGCCATTATCTAAGAGAGACCGCCTTCCTTCGTCTCTCTCTGTGAATATTGAATAAACTACTTCTTGGCATCCCACTGTGGGAGGGATAGGATTCCCTGAAGCCTTGACATCAAGGTGGACAGGGGAGAGGGACAAGGCATTGGAGAGGTCAGCATGGTGAAACCAACAGAGCCAACCCTGTATTGCTGCCAGTGCATCTGCATTGCGCCAACTTCCCCGACACCTTGCCACCCACCCTTCCAGTACGCCACAGTGACTCAGCTACTGGGAAGCTAGCTGTGATGGCCTGGGAATCAGATTCAGAGGCTGAACCTGAAGAATCCCAGCCTGCACAGGAGTCCCCGCCTCCAGGGCCGGCTGAGTCAGGGCTGGGGCATGAGCCTGAAGGGTCCTCACCTGTGCTGGATTCTCAGGAGCAGACACCAGCTGAATCTGCTCTGGCTCCGGAGGTGATTGAAGACCCATTGCCTGCAGGTACTCCTCTCCCAGCTCTGTCAGGAGAAGGTGAGGTTGCATCTGGGTCATGAGCTACAGAGGCTCAGGGCAAAGAGGCAGAGGGAACTAAGTCCTCACAGGAGGAGTACTCGCCTCTAGGCCAGGAGAGGCGAGTCACCTGTGGACTGGGACCACCCTATGCCTCGGGGCAGATAAAAGTCAGCCAGCCCAGTCCCAGGTTGCAGGAGCAACATTGTTGGTAACCTGTTCTTGCCGGCACCCTGTCTTGCTCTTCTTCCAGAGTTCCTGACCACAGCCGACTCCTTGCCTTGGACCCTGCTTCAGCCTTGACAGACAGCCTCCATACCACACCCTTGACCTCAGACTGGACTCGGACCACGGCGCACAGTAGCCCCCCGGGACCAGCACACTAGCAAAGCAGCTGCACTCCACTCACCTTCTGCCTCCAGGATCCCTGTTGGGAAATGTTTGTGTGTTTGTGTGTGTTTAATTTGTTCATAAATGAGCTGGAGTAGTAAGATGGACAAGTTTGCTGTGGATGCCAAATTATTCAGAGTGATAAAAAGGTAAAGGACCCCTGACAGTTAAGTCCAGTCGCAGATGACTCTGGGGTTGTGGTGTCATCTTGCTTTACAGGCCGAGGGAGCCGGCCTTTGTCCACAGACAGCTTTTCCAGGTCATGTGGCCAGCATCACTAAGCCACTTCTGGCGCAATGGAACATGAAAACCAGAGCAGAGCACGGAAACACCGTTTACCTTCCTGACGGAGTGGTACCTGTTTATCAACTTGCACTTTTTGGCATGCTTTCGAAGTGCTAGGTTGGCAGGAGCTGGGACAGAGCTACGGAAGCTCACCCTGTTGTGGAGATTCTAACTGCCAACCTTCTGATCTGCAAGCTCAAGAGGCTCAGTGGTTTAGACCACAGCACCACCCACGTCCCTACATTCAGAGTGATAAGAGCAAGCAAAGAAAGAAAGAAGGAAAAGATTGTGAAGCATTCTAAAGGGAGCTTTGCCCTGATGGTGTCAGCGACTGGGCAGAGGAGGAATGGTGGAGACCACCTCACCAGCCTGACCTTTCCAGAGAAGAAGACGACAGTTCAGAATTACAACAGGTGTTTGAGGGAGATCACAGCTCAGAGGCAGATGAGGGGGAAAGCTGGAAAATAATGGGAGAGGAGGAAGAAAAAGAAGCATCAGGGGAGAAACAGCCAATGGACACAGTGCCTTTAGAAAGCATTCCAGACTCCTCCTCTCCCGGAACCCGACGAGCCTTGAAAGTAGCAGAGCAAAGAGCTCAAAGGCAGAGGACACGTCTCAGCACCTGTAGCAATGATGCATGAAAAAGTGGGAGAGATGGAGAGAGTGGAAACTCACTCGGGACAACGCCATTATTCTGGTCTATTGTTTAAAGTCTGCATTCCCAAGCCTCTCTCTGTGAATGTTGAATAAAAAGCAGATGGTAAGGACTTTTCCTTGTCTTATCGGTTCCTGGCAACCTGCCATGGGGGTTGGTTCCTCTGCCGTCTCACAGGCAGGGACAATTTGGGGTCTTGAGGCAGTGGTGAAATGATCAGAGAAGACGCAGCGTTGGGTAAAAATCAAGCCAAATCTTTTTGAAATCAATAGAAAGCAGGGTTGGCATAGCAGTAGGACAAAGGTCCCATTGCAAATTCCAACAGCCCTTGCTTATGGTATGCTCTTCTTGTGAGGGTTGGAAAATGCCCCAACCCCATGGGGATTACCCTGTCTTGAGCTCTGGTGTGGTTCAAGCTAGGCACACAGGGTGCCATTGGGTGTCTGTGGTGAAGGTTATCAACCATGCAGAAGTCTTAATCCACATTTAGGGCATGCCATGGCCAATCTCTCTCCCTGCCAGGCTTCCCATGGGGGCCTCCTTTGCTATGTTGATCCGGCCCAATGCCATTTCCACACGTATGCATAAGTGGGAAGCTTGCTAGGGACAAACGGCCCTGAACACACGTGAGCTAACCTTTGAAACTCACACATCCAATTCTGGCAGTGAAATTTTCCAACCTAATAATATTTACAAAAATGCACATTTTAGGGGAAAGTATGCATGAAATGAAGGTACTGGTGAAAAGAGAATACAAAAATGCATTCTCTTATTATATAGTATATATTATATTAAGAACAGAAAAATGAGAAACAGAGAGAACTAATATTGAAAGAAGCTTCCATCTCTATCTGTGCAGGAAATCCTACATTCTCTTCAATGGCTGAACATTTTGGTTGCCACTCTTCTTAGAAAACTGGACACAAATTTGTAACATCTCAGTTGAACTCATTTACAGCCATTTCATCCCCAAATTTTCTTTTTCAGGAACAAGGAAGAGAAGACTATTGACTGTTTTAGATGAGATAAATAAGTCCTGTTAGCTTATTCCTATTAGCCTTTTCATGGGCTGTAAATCTCAGATAGATACATATATAAAATTGCTACTTTTAACAAAGTTTGCTTGAAGATCTTTTTATTTGTTTAAAGCTACTTTTCGGGATTTGTAAAAGCTTGCCGAGGTACTAGTATTCTCTGCTGGTTTCATATATCTATTCAAATTCCAAGACTGCAAGGCCTTCTTATTTTAATTCTATGCTATTTTGTTCACTCTGCCTGAGGCGCTCCAGCTCCCCCTTGGTATATTTATGTGCAAGGCTAATTTTTTACCCTTTTAATTTACCCTATTGCTGACTTTCAATTGTCCTTTTAAGGTCGATCTTCCCATAATGATTTTATTGCAAGAAAATGCCCTGGGATACGCTAAGCGCTTATATTGCACTGTGTACTGCAATGTTTTGATGCAGGAGACCGGGGTGCTGGGGGGGAGAGAAGCTAATGTTAAATTGTGTGGTATTTATCTTCATTCTGGACACTGATTCGGATGCTGTTTAAGTGCCTCAGGGGGCTTTATCCTGTCTGTTAGCTTCTGTTGCGAGACTTGGTGTGCACTGAAATAGCAGCCAAAGGGAAGTGCTTTAACCTAAGCTACTCAGTCTCCCGTTACCTTGCCTTTTTAGGTTGGCTGGTGGCTGAATACCCGTTCTAAGAAAAAATATTTCCCGTTGCTGAGGTTTCTGCTTTGTCCTGCAAAAAAATGTTCCTGTCTCAATTTAAGTGAAGTGTGTTTGATTTTATTTTTTATTTTTTAAGAACATGAAAAATGAAACAAGCAGAATTGCTACTGGACTCAACTCAAAGTTCTGGTTTTAAATAACTTTCAAAGGTTAGGGCAGAAGTGGGGAACTTTTTCCAGTCAGAGGCCCACATTCTAATTTGGGTCATAATTTCAGTGCTTCATGCCAGGAGAGGTCAGGACCAAAGACAGTGATGGGCAAGGCCATTCACACCGATCCATTCAACCATCCCATTCACGCTCAGTACATTTTTTCGTGTACACACACATCCATCCCCATCAGCCACTCTCCTCTTTCACTTTCCCCCAGCTGCTCTCATTTCTGAGCATTTTCTTACTTGCTGATCACTTTCTTTGCTCCCCAATATGAGTGGCGGTCCTTCGGGTATTGCAGTCCTGAGCGGTCAAAACCAGCACTTTGAATTGGGCCCGGAAACTACTTGGTAGCCAGTGTAGTCAGACTAGGATCGGTGTAACATGCTCAAACCGTCTTGCCCTGGTGAGCAACCTGGCCACTGAATTTTGCACTAGCTGAAATTTCTGAACTGTCTTCAGAGGCAGCTTGTATCCTAAGCAACCCATCGCAGTAATCTAAACTTGAGGTTACCAAAGCATAGATGACAGAAGTTAGGCTATCCCTGTCCAGATAAGGGCACAGCTGGGCCAGCAGCTGAAGCTGATGGAAGGCACTCCAGTGACAGCAAAGGATCCAGGAGTATCCCCAAGCTACGAACCTGCTCCGTCAGAAGAAGTGGAACCCCACCAAGAGCAGGCAACCTCCCAGCTATCTGGTCTAGGGAACCACCCACCAACAGTGCCTCAATCTAATGTGGATTGCGTTTCAGTTTGTTGGCTCTCCTCCAGTCCATTATCAAGGCAAGACGCCAATCCAGCTTTTCTACTGCCTCACCTAAAGGAGAAGGAGACCTGAGTGTCATCAGAATATGCTGATTTCCCCTGCTTAAATCAGCCAGGCTTTCAAGTGCTTAACTTTGGCTAAATCACATCCTCACACAGAGTACTGAAGAAAATTCACAGGAAGTTGTCAGAACCCTCTGGAGGGGGAAAAAAAGTTTAACCTACAGGGTTAGAGGAAAGTTGAGAAGCTTTATACGAACCAAGACAAATCTGTCATGCATAGAAAGGTTGAAGCAACTGTATTCTCTTTATCTGATATCATCATTATATTTCACTGCATCTTCATTCCCCCCCGCCCAAAGTTCCTCTAGAGACACAATTATGTAGGGAAGAGTGACATACAGATCAAAAAGCAATGCTTAAAGTACCTCATCTGCCACAAGGTATGGGTCACACACATGCACTTCTGAGAAATAGTTAAAAGTATTCTGCATTGCCTTGTAACACTCTGCCTGCGGGAAGCTAATTAGAAGAGTTACCTTAGAGCTGGACTTTCTTTAAATGCCTCATCAGCAGAATTGCAAGGCTTGTTCCATCACAGTGGAGATAATATATGCAGGTGTTGCTCTTCCTGCACCATAATGTCATGGTTGAATTTCATGGCTGATTCTTATTTCTAAATGTTATGGTTAAAATATTGATTTTATACTAGGAGTGGGACTTCTTTGACCTTCATGCCAAACAGTGCATACTTTCAGTGTTGACGTTATTTCAGGACCATGATCTTAGTCCACCAATGTGATGTTCCACAAATGCTAAAAGTACCTCCAGGTCTTCCCCTACCTGATTGGAAAGTGGACAAAAAACTACTTATGAAAGTCTTCCTTATTAATTTGTCCTGATAACCTGGAAATAATATCATTGCTGGGTTGGGGGAAAGAATCCTCTTTTATTGTTGCATCTAAGCAGTTTTCCGATTGTAATACAAAATAGTTGTATTGAAGAAATAAGTAATGTATGTGTAGCTTGGGGTAAGGTGTGAAAGTGGCTGATATGAGTCTCAGGTGACAAAGCAGGTTTAGTCTCAGACCTTCTCTCTCCCCCTTGCATTTCCACACTCTCTCCCCCTTGCATTTCCCCAACACTACAGAAGCTATGTTGAAATGCATGTGCAAATTTTAGTGCTGTTTTTGCACATACATGCAAGCAAGCATGTATACTTGAACGCACAAACATATATTTGAATGCACAAACTGTGTCAATATGTCTTTCCATATGCGATTATCATTTTATAACCATATTTATATAATTATATTCAGCTAGGTGATTTTTTAAAGACATTTGAAGGCAGCCTTGTTCAGGGAAGTTTTCACTGTGCAATGTTGTGTTGTGTTTTTACTGTTTTTTGTTGGGAGCTGCCCAGAGTGGCTGTGGCAACCCAGTCAGATGGGCAGCATACAAATAAATTAATAATAATAATAATAATAATAATAATAATAATAATAATATTAAAATTTGGAGTTGGCAGTAGGAATAAAAGGAAATGGTAGACATCACCAAAAATGCCCTTGAAAACCTCTTGGCAATATCCTCATATAGGAGTGTGTTGAAATAAGTTAATAGAGAGAATCTTTGCCAATGAAGAAATGGTCATTCCCTTTAAATTTAATAAATTATTTTTTTCTCTATTGGCAGGAGTAGGAAGCAAAGGACAAGTGTTCTGGGACAATAGCAAGGCAATTTCTTTGCTTCAGATTTATTAATTGTCCAAAGACCTTCAGATTCCTCACACATATATTTGATTCCACACAATGAAGCAGAGAACTCCAAAATCAAGAAATTTCACAAACAATGCATATTCGTTATTTAAAAAGAAAGCAGAGATAGAACAAAAATTAAACAAGCAGCATCCCTTAACAATTTGGTAGTTGTCTGCAAACCTTTATAGTTTGGAATGCAAACTTTGCAACCGATTTGCGTCCATATATAGTTTGGAATACAAACTTTGCAACGGACTGGGTACTACTCTAGAGAGTTTCCTGCAAATGGACAAATAAGACTGCTTTTTAGCTGCTACACAGACACACAAGATTCACATATAGAATGCCATTAAATCTTCATTCCAAAATATCTGAAGGGAGAACAATGGATCAAATTAGTATAAACACGTTCCTATATTTTGGGATAAATAACAATGGCAAGTAATGGACGCAGCCACCATTAGAAATCAACCATGGTGACACATCTCCTAAATATGAATCTCCTTTCCTTTTACAATATCAGTTACCGAAAGCTGACATCTACTTTAAAACACAGCACACACAGAGCCATCCTAATCTCCAGTTGGTGGGGGGTTAGGATCCTGTGGAGCAGTCCTTCCACCAGACTCAACTAAAAGAGGGGGAGAATGACCCTGCTGATACTCAGGACCCCACTGTGACTGTTGAAAGTATGGAGCAGATACAGCCACTGATGGTGTTTTCATCAGCAGTAACCATAGTATGGCTTCAAACTGGGACATTACATGGGCAGGACCAGTGCTGGAGCTGCTGGGTCCAAAGCTGGCCTGTTTCCTGGAGACTTCAGCGTTCTGAAGCAACAGGACTATGGACATTTCTTCGGCCCTGGGTAGCACAGTTCTCACAGGTAACAATCTTTCAGTCATCGCTCAAAAGGATCTGGCCTTCATGGAAAGAATAAATGATGAACAGCATTGCTTTGCCCCAACTCTGTTGCTCCAATAACTGTTAACAGTGAATGATGTTTTAAAACACTCAGTGGGCTGCTTCAATTCAGTAACTAACTTTAAGTGAATGTTTAAGTGCATTGTCGAAAAAGGACACCAGTCCCCATCTCCTCTTAAGGATGGGCTAATCTGTCAATTTTGGTTTCTCATAGTTTCCAGTTTGGTCCAACCTTTTTCTTTTGGAAAGCCTGCTCAGGAAATTGCACTTATTTTTTTGTAGGCATTTCTGCTAAAATGCACATTTCTTTATACAGTTTTGCTGAGTATATGCACAGGCAAACCCCCCCCCCAATAGAATGCACTTCTGTATGCATATTAGTGCAAATAAGTATAATAGTGAAAATGCTTAATTTAGTGAAGATATGTTTATTAGTGAAAATAAATCTCTATGCATTTTTTTCTTTTTTAAAAAACAACAACCCTAATATGCACACTTTGGTTGGGGGACTGCACTGCAAAATTCAAAGAGGTGAATTTCAAAGAAGAGCTGTGTTTCAATTCATTACTGGTTCAGATTATAAGGCCACATTAAAATATAAACCAAACAAATGACTGCTCCATCTCTGATTGCCTCATCATGACAAGTGCCCAGCATAGAGAATTGTGGATACATCAGCACAAGAGGCATCTGAAGATTGAAAGGCAGATCAGCGGAGTGTCTGATTAACCTCCATTTGCTGTGCCATGTCCTTTAAGGGCAGCTTGGCCTGCCGAAAGTGTTATGTAACAATTTTCATAGAAGGGAGAACTATGGTAATTACACTATGACAATGCAAGGGCTGGTTCAAAAATTGATTCTCCTACCAGCTGAACTCAGAGCCTTTATGCCTACTCCCCATTTCCTTCTCCGTAATTTTTTCCATGGGCAGCTGGCTTCCCACCGCACTTAGTAGAAGGAGGAGAAGTACGATGGCAGGGAGATCAGCACAAGTGCAGTGGCAGAGTCATTTCTGTGCTCCTACCACCGCTCCTGCACCCTGTGGACATTCCTGCCACATTGCCCTCCCTGTAAGCACAGCAACCCCACTGATGAGAAGCAAGACGCTCTTCCTTGGATTGTCCTGTTCACCATCACCTGATACTGCCTTCCATAAGGCATGGCCTTGAGAAACTAACTAACCAACTGAAGAACATACCACCGCCACCATAGCAACAACAGCTTTTGATGAAGCATGCGGTTGTCAGAAGCTATCCAAACCACAAAACCACAGTATAAACCACTTCACGAGGTCAAGGAGACCATGTTTGAGTTTGTCTACTATTATGGAATTCCACTGGCAATTGTATGACAAGTGTGAATGTTTTCCAATAATAAGGACTGCCGCTGACAACTGAAATGACAGAAATGTGAGGGTCCCAAGGAACAAGAATGTAAGATAGTATTAGAATTCTGCCCAGATGGTAAAGGCGTTGCACCTAGTCTTGTAAAAGGCATTTTGTGCTTTGAATACAGAATTGTTGAAAGCCTTCATCTTAAGTATTGTCAAAATATCTTGAAAGAACGCAACCAGTCATTCCCCTCCCTCTGCCTCCCAGAGATTCAGCTAGTTACTCTGTGCTTACTTGTCTCTGCTTACAGATTTCTGATGTTCAAAGATGAAAAGGCAAGCCTATTATTCCGTTACAACTTAAGAATTGTACTCATTATGTGCCTCCTAATTAATTACTAAAGACTTCAATAAAATTAAGAACTCCTCACCTCTTTCCCCCTTCCAAACAGTACTTTGTTACATCCCATTCATCTAAAGCTACAGGATATGGTAACATCTCTTGTCAAGAGTGTTTTCATGTTTAAAGTAAATTAATCTGTCATTAGCCATTCTTGCATGAAAGTATTGATAGCTGTGTTGGTCCCAGAGAAGAAGAAGCAGAGATCAAGTAGGATCCTTTATTGAACAAACTATTTAAAATACTGGGAGAAAGCTTTCAAAATTCATACATAATTCATTGGGCTTTGGGCTGTTTTTAATTATGTTACTCAGTTGTTGCTTCCTTCTGGCTGCATCTAAGGCCACTCCAGTAGATCCAGATAATTCTGATCATGTGGACAAAATGGATGACACAGATTCACAGAATTGTAGAGTTGGAAGGCACCCGAAGGGACATCTAGTATGACCCCCTGAAATGCAGGAAACACTCTTTTTCTGAGTGCAAAATATAAAGCATTCCCATTGACCCACTTCTCTTAGGGTCAATGTTGTCAAGTGAGTGGAAGCTGATGAACACCAATAATAATAATAATAATAATAATTATTTTGGGGTGGACATACTGCTCTGTTCCAATTGGTGCATGTCCTATAGCTTCTGGCTGAAATGCTGGAACTTTTTATGCAATAAATGTTCTGGGTTTTGTTGTTGTCCCTTTTCTGTTGTGGGGTAGTACAAGAATGCCCCTGAAGATGGCAATAACAGGGGAAGCATCACAGAACAACTTATAAGGCTGAATGATCTAAGGACAGTCTAGGATAAATCTACCATCAATGCATATTATTGCATGATGTTGCAGAATAACACCCATATTATTATTATTATTATTATTAAAAAAACCAACACCAATCTGGAGGGGCTCTGAATCAACTTTTCAAAAGCGGGATTATAATGAAACTTCAGGAAAGTTTTTAACCAAAGTTATAATTGAGCTCTCCTAAATTATTTCTTTATACTTCCACCTAATGTCTAAGCTGCTGAAGTTAAAATGCTTTATCTCCTCATTGCTGCAAACGGCTTCACTAATATGAAAAACATGCAGACTAATTACTGGTATAAGTTTTATGTTTAATTAGGATTTGAACCAAAATCCATTAAAATCACTGGCTCTAATGGTGTTTGGACAAGCTGGCAGGGGAATGCAAAATCTATTTGCATGGTATCCTCACTATTACAAAAATGTTATTAACCTAAATGTTAGGTGTACTATGCCAAGTATAACTTCATTTCTATGCCATTTTATTATGGAAGCCAATCTCTTCCACCTTGGCTCGCGTGTTTCGGCCAGTTTTGGACTTAACAAATGGACCTTTTCCAGAGCCAATATTCAGATGTTCTAAAACTGGTCCCAAGTTGCTAAGCCTTTGCTAAGCCCAAGTCTCTCACGTTCTTGATCAACACCACAGTCATTCAATTCACATTTGCATTGCAGGTTTCCAAAGTCTCTGCCCAGGACTAATCGACAAACCATTCTTTACTTATTAAAAGTTGCTTCTAGCAACCACTAAATGAGCCCAGAGAAGCTATTTATTAATTGAACTCTAATCCAATGCATGCCTTCTGCCCAGAAACCTCATTTTGTTTTCGTAGCAAGGAGATGGTAGCCATCTATAAGAATGCAAAATTGAATGAATAATTCACATGTAATACAATATTTACCCCTCCCTTAAACCTGTGAAACAGCATTGGCTATTCGTCAGGAGAAATTTTGCATTTTAAAGCTGCTTTTCAAGCAAAACACCACTGGATTGGCTCCAGTGAAAGATATCATCTGTGAAGAGGGCATGCACAATCTGATGGTTGAGATCTAGAGTTTTCTTTGTTTTACTTGGGGCCGATATACACTTATGGTTTTTAACGTCAAAGTGGAGGTAAGTAATGGTTTTGATAACATAGATGGACACATAACATCCTACTTTTTATGTTCATAATACGTTATTACCCTGCCTTTTTATCAATTTTTTTTTATTGTTTTATGCTACTATATAGGTGAAAAACTGCTCATATGTCCCTGTGCTGTATTGTTTTTAACATTTGATTGGGAGCTGCCCAGAGTGGCTGGGGAGACTCAGCCAGATGGGCGGGGTATAAATAAATTATTATTAGTAGTAGTAGTAGGAGGAGGAGGAGTACTAGTAGTGTTTTACTTTTTTTACTGCATTCAAACTCCAATGGTATTCAAGGGGCAGTGTTCAGGGAGGGAGGGAGGACGAATTAAAACATGACACCAGAGGAAAGAGCAGAACAACCAGAAGAAGAAGAAGAAGAAGAAGAAGAAGAAGAAGAAGAAGGGGAGGAGGAGTAGTAGTTTGGACTTGATATCCCGCCTTAACTGAGTTAAGATTAAAAAAGGATGTGTACAAAAAATGGAAAAGGGGGAAAACCACCAAAGAGGAATTCAAACAAACAGCCAGCACGTGTAGACACAAAGTCAGAAAAGCTAAAGCACAGAATGAACTCAGGCTTGCTAGAGAGATGAAAAGCAACAAAAAAGGCTTTTATGGGTATGTTCGTAGCAAAAGGAAGAACAAAGAAACAGTGGGGTCACTCAGAGGGGAAGATGGTGAAATGCAAACAGGGGACACAGAAAGGGCTGAACTCCTCAATGCCTTCTTTGCCTCAGTCTTCTCCGATAAAGAAAACAATGCCCGACCTGAAGAATTTGGAGCAAATGATTCAGCAGAGGAAACACAGCCCAGAATAACTAAGGAGATAGTACAAGAATACTTGGCTAGTTTAGATGTATTCAAGTCTCCAGGGCCAGATGAACTGCATCCAAGAGTATTAAAAGAACTGGCAGATGTGATCTCAGAACCACTGACAGTCATCTTTGAGAATTCCTGGAGAACAGGCGAAGTCCTGGCAGACTGGAGGAGGGCAAATGTTGTCCCTATTTTCAAAAAGGGGAAAAGAGAGGACCTAAATAATTACCGCCCAGTCAGTCTGACATCAATACCAGGGAAGATTCTGGAGCAGATCATTAAGCAAACAGTCTGTGAGCACCTAGAAAGGAATGCTGTGATTACCAATAGTCAGCATGGATTTCTGAAAAATAAGTCATGTCAGACTAACCTGATCTTGTTTTTTTGACAGAATTACAAGCCTGGTAGATGAAGGGAACGCAGTGGATGTAGCCTACCTTGATTTCAGCAAGGCATTTG